GATTGTAGTTTTCATTTACAGATCCTGTATTATTTTTTCTGTATGTAACATACTATAATCAATTTTTCCAATAACATTTGTGCAAATATTTTTACAGTAACTTTTTCTTCTTTATTTTTCTTTTTCACCCTTGGGAATCAAGAATAAACGATTGGTGATTCAACTGATTCTGCTCTTTCATGTGATCCTACCAGTTCTTTCAATTTCCTTGCACAACACTCGAAACGTTTTTGAAAAGGGCAAGGAATATATTTGTCATTGAATCTCAATTTTCTAACCAAATTTTCTTGCTGTTGGACCATACAATCGATGTGTCGTTTACTCTTTGCTTTTGCCCTTTCTATGTCTGAATATGGACTGGGATTAGCTTGAATTTCTAACCCCCACCACTTGGCCTCATTTAACTGGTTGGGGTAAGTTCGAACCTAAAAGCCCTTGAAGTCGACGTGCTTTCCATATAAAGAAAACAAAAATTTGAACATCGCGGAATTCTTCATAAGAGACTAAATTTTCAATGCAGCTTTCCTGCTTAGCACACGTGAAAAAGAATAGAGTAGAATTTGAGATAATAATGGTTCAACAAGACAGTAATGAAATATGAATTGACAGATCAAAACTTTGGGGTGAAAAGTCTTACAAGTAGAAGTATGACTCTTTCTTATACATTTTCTGTATAATGTATCTAAAGATAGTAAGCTAACTATGATGCCGTTGAAATATTGTCAGAAATGTATATTTTTATCTGTTGATCGTTAAAATTAAAAATTGAATATTTTATCAACAAATTAAGTCATATGATAAAAATATATTTATTAACATTTTAATGTCAACGGAATATGATTTATGTGTATACAGAGCATCTTGGATTGCCAATTCTATGGGTTAACTTTTTTTTTTTTCCCTAAACATAATTATGAGGCAAGACCAATGCTCACCTTTTTGATTTGATTGTGCCAAGCTACCAACTATTACACAGATACATGATTAAATTTTGTTTGGTACTAAGCCTAGATTGCTAACTTTCCTGTCTAAGGAAGGAAATGCATATTCTGATTTCAGTTTGACACATGGAAAGAAAATTTCATTGGATCAATCTGCTACTTGTGTTGGATGATCTAATGGCTACCCATGACACTGTTTGTTTCACTCGAAAGATATGCCTCAAAAACAAACAAGCCTTGAAGGCGTTTGAATTAAAAAAAAAAACTTTTGACCAACATCTAACTTTATTTTGCATGGAATTATTAAATTACAAAACTAAGTGTGAACCCAAGCTGTCTTTGGTTTCAATTTTCCAAACTATATACCTTTTGACAGTGATGACTGGTAAAATGCTGTGCTCATGAGCTGACGTTCATGGTTTGGTCATCTTTCTAGAATTGTTATTATTGCGCTTATGTGATAATTAACACAAATCTTTTCTTGTTCTTTAATTAATCCCCTTGTCCTCACAAATAGATAAGGTTATAGTGAGTTTTGACCAGCTTTTTTTTTCTTATAATTAACGCCACTTTTCCCTTTTATATTTTCTTTACGTATGTTCGATTGAATTAAAAAAAGAAAAGAAAATTTCATTAAAGAGGCAAATTCTTATTGCATAAAGCAAAACAAAAACATGTCTAAACTTTTTCATTGTTTATTCTTTGATTATATAAGTGGTTAGGAATCTAAATATATTTTCATTCCCAGGATTTGAATTACAATAATGAATTATTTCAAGCTTTTTGACTCTTTAAAAATATTTTAAAATAAATTTTGATTTGTTTCTTATTATTAGAAGCAATGAACCTGGGTCTTAATGGGTCAATAGGGACAAGTCAACCTCAAAGTCTAAAAGAAAAGTATATTTCTTTTGTATAACATAACATTGCAATGAAATTATTTTATTGATTTGCATCTTTTTCATTATCATAGCTAATGTTCTAGATACTCATATTTCTTTTATTATGAAAACTTTCCTTTTTCATTAAGCAAATATTAGAAATGGTCTTAATTGCCTTGATTTACGAAACAACAAAACAGTGGGAAAGACTTATATTAAATTTTTTAGGTGAAATTTATGAAGTTTCTACAAAAAATAATAAAATTAAAATTAAAATCGATAAATTAAAAAATCTCGTTACATAAATTAAGTATATAAAATTAAAAAAAATTAATAAATTTTGATATATATATTTGTACATATTATTAATTTTTATATTAAAATTTATCGATTTATCAACTTAAAATTTTTATTTAATTATTTTTAAAAATAAATTTCAAAACTTTTGTGTAAATTTTGTTTCAAAATATTTGCATCTTCATAATTGGTTTTTTTTTTTTAAGTCTATAACTTTCGCAACAGCTTGAAGATTGGGACCGGTGATTTAAAGAATCTAGGATTCTAAATTTTTTTTATTCATTGAATGAAGATGTTAATAAGCAATTCAGTAAAAAAAAAATAGAAGTCAAGCAAAAATGGTGTATTGAGTTGAATACAGCTATAATCCCTTTGGTTTATTAATATTTTGTAATTTGTTATCTGGCTGTAACCCACGAGTCAAGAACTGGCCAAGTCTCCTAGATGCACACTTTGCAAAATAACCATCTTATTATTATTTTTTTAATTGTAGAATGGAAACAAAAAGTCACAAATATTAAAATTTTAAATTTCATATTTTTTATATTATTTTTTAAAAATAATTATATAAATTAATTAAATTAATTATTGAACTCAAAATAATGAGCCTATTTCATATTAAAAACGTGACAAATTCTGGAAATTACGTGGCATTGATGTTTTCTAATTGAAAAATCAAATTAAAACCGTGCTTTGCTTTTGTTTTGGTTTGAATAGGTCATCCCTCCAATGTATAAGAAACTTATCTAATTTATTCATTTAAAAAAAAAAAAGGAATAAAAAACAAATCAAATTAATAAAACAAATATGAAATTTCGAGTTCTGTTTTTATGAGACAGGGTGTCAAAGTGATAAAACAGGTTGTCCTTCTAGAACTTTAAGGTAATTTTGGACAGCTGCATTTGAGACATTGTCATGCTTCCGAAATGTTGATAATTTTTTATTATATTTTTCATTAAGGGAAGGGAAGGTCTTTTCCTTTATTTAAAAATTAAAAACACGATCAAATGATGAGTATGTATTAGTGATGAAACAAATTCTTCTAGAAACTTAATTATTATTATTATTTATTTTATTTTATTTCTTTCTCACTAAGCAAAGCTAATATAGTGATAACTTAAAATAATAATTAGACTTTTATTTATTCCTCGTGTTATGGCCAACATAATAGTCATTGCCGGCAAGGCTAGAAGACATCCACTTCAAAGTCAATGAAATTTGCAAAGTCGCTAACACATTACTTCAATTAATAACTTTGTCTTAAGAAAATTCATCAATATTTTTATTTTGAAATGGGAATGGGATAAAGCCTTCCCTCTTTTTAATATCTCTTCAATTTGGTATCCTTTGTTAATGAAAAGGGTATATTAATAATACTTATAAAGGATTAATTCAGTTAGTAAGGATTGGAATTTTTTTTTTTATCATCAGTTCGGGTTTTTTAAAAATATTTTAAAAATAAAATTTTAAATATATATCATATCGGTGTGGGAAATTCATTTTTAAAATCATAAAAAAATTTAAACATAAGCAAAATTGATTCATTAATATGAATTAAAATATTAATAATGTAATATTTTTATAACATAAATAAGTACTATGATTCGAAATTAAAATAAACAGCCAAATGATTCTTACAAATGAAAATTTATATATTCAAACATAAACCAAAGTTTTCAAAATCAATTATATAGAAATTTATAGTAGTTTTTGGCCCAAAAAATAAAATTTATGGTAGTAAGTTACAGTCGGCGGGTCTGTTGTCTGTTCTAGTGAAGAATTATTGACTCTAAGACTCAGCAAATCAGGCCCACAAAGAACCGAAAGCAACTTTGTTAAGTGGGAATAGTTGAGAAGCGAGGCCCGCAAAAACCAGCTGGATTCACGCTTTGCTTTAAAATGACAGGCCATTGTACTCTGTGTTGGAGGACGTAATAAAATTTAGGCTTCAACTCTAGTATTCTTGGCGCTGAGTTTTGGACAATTTTCAAACCAAATATCAACATTTAAGATTTTTTTTTTTGATTAAATGCTTTGCGCATGAACAAGAATATAATTCGAATCTATCTTTCAAATAATAATAAAAAAAATTTGTACTTGAATGCAATCAAGGATCCAGCTTGAATTTTTTTAAATAAAATAAAAAATTAAGACTCATATTCATATATTCGAAGATAAGAAAGAAGACGATGCATAATGGATTGGCTTCTTGGGAGATTGAGTTCCTGGGCTTGATAGGCTTTGCAGCAGCCCAATTTTGCAACTTCTTTTGGTAGCCCACAAAATGATTGTGTGGGCTCCATATGGGTCAGATCTAGCCCATCAATTTCACTGTCCATATCTTCTAAATAACTAAATCCAATTTAATGGAAGGCCTACCAATTTAAGGAGAAATGCATTAGGGGGAGTTTCACATTTTTTTTCTAATTTAAAAAAATTAAAAAATTAAAAATTAGGTCAAATCTTAATCATTAAAATTATAAATTATAAATTTTAATATTTTATTAACTTAAAATAAAAAATTACTTTAAAAGAAGTTATTTTTTATTTTTTCTTGATAAAATCTATTTTATAGGCTACTACTTAATTTCTTAGTTTTGAATGAAGCAGTGTTTAAAATTTGAAATTCCTTATTAGCTATGGTATGGTCTAATGGTTTTCCTTTTAATGAAATTAAAATTTTAATATATTCAAAATGGAATCAATTCATAAAAAAGAAACAGAATGAATAAAAAAAATGAGTAATAATATGTAAATAAAAAGATCTGACTTTCAAAATTGACTTCCTTCGTGGGCTATATTTCTAGGCTATTTTCCTGGCAACCAAACCAAATCCTATCACATTAAATTATGCATAAGTCGATGAAAATATAACGTCTTGGTCCACTCCAATGCTGAAGACCTTTTTAATTCTTTGATTGGTCAACCGTTTATTCTCTGTTTCGTCACATAACTTTCAATTTCTTTTTCCTTTTTCCACATTCAAATTTCAAAGTTTCAAAACTAACAAGCAAAGGCAAGCCCCAATGGCTCCTTTTCGCTTTCTCTTACTTTTCTTCCCCCATAAAAACACACCCTTTTTTCCCTTTCTTTTGTACTACGGTTTTTTTGAGCCCGTTTTTGAAGGAAGTGAAAAACGAAGATGGAGAATGAAGCAATAGCGGTTGATCTCAGAAGAATCCCAACATATGATGGCAGATATGTCCGTTACAACATCTTAGGTGACATCTTTGAAGTTTCTTCCAAGTATGTTCCTCCTATTTATCCTGTTGGTCGTGGCGCTTACGGCATCGTTTGGTAATCTTCTGCTTCCCTTCTTCTATTTTGGAAGCAAAAGCATGCTTTTTCCTTTCTGGGGTTCTGTCACTTGTGAGTTTAAAGCTGTAGATTCATTGAATTAGTTGACTTTTTTGGGTTTTTTTTTTTTCCTTCTTTCTTTATTTGGATTTTAGTGATTAGGCAGAAGAGCTACTTAAAGTGTAGAAAAAGAAAATTTTTACTAACCCTTTTAGGGAAATTTCAGAATTGTAACCAGAAATGAACTTTGGGTTTGTTCCAATTTGATGTTCGAAAAAGTTATAATTTTTTCCAATACAATTGAAATAATTTAGGGTGAAAATTTGATTTTGATTGTTTATGGGAGACTGAGGGATGAAAGTTTTAATACAATATTTTGAGGTTAATGTGATTGAGGGAATTTCTACTTTCCTTATTGCAGCTGTGCCACAAATTCTGAGACAAAGGAAGAGGTTGCAATAAAAAAGATTGGGAATGCATTTGACAACAGGATTGATGCTAAAAGAACACTCCGTGAGATCAAGCTCCTTTTTCACATGGATCAAGATAATGTACTCACTAAATTCTAAGCTTTGTATGGTTGTATTATTATATTCTTCACTTTCATTTATTCTTTTCATGTTATACTATGAATGAAGTGTGCGTTAATATTTTGCAGATTGTCAAAATCAAGGACATTATAATGCCACCGGAAAGGGAAAAGTTCAATGATGTTTACATTGCATATGAGCTAATGGACACTGATCTAAATCAAATTATACGGTCGAGCCAGCCTCTCACTGATGATCACTGTCAGGTGGGCTATATATTATTCTTATTTCCCTATAAATTAGTAGTTCATGATGTTACCAGTTTCATTCCTAGTCAATCTTGGTCCATGTAATCTTCAATTGTAATAAATTTTTTGTCATTTTGCAGCACCAATGCTAGTTTAATATATGAGTTTATATCTGATTATCTGAGCCTTAAGAAAAACATATAATTGTGTACTAGTTGAAATCAGGCTATAATTTCATAATTCTTGAAGTTATATCATGTTTTTTGCAGTATTTCCTATATCAACTGTTACGGGGCCTGAAGTACATACACTCAGCAAATGTTTTGCACCGAGACCTAAAACCTAGCAATCTGCTTCTTAATGCGAACTGTGATCTCAAAATTTGCGACTTTGGTCTTGCAAGAACCACCTCAGAGACAGACTTCATGACGGAGTATGTTGTAACCAGATGGTATCGAGCCCCTGAATTGCTTCTCAACTGTTCAGAATATACTGCAGCTATTGATATCTGGTCAGTTGGTTGTATTTTAATGGAAATAATTAGAAGGGAGCCACTTTTTCCTGGTAAAGACTATGTTCAGCAGTTGGGGCTTATTACTCAGGTATCCATCACTATTGATTTCTTCATACCCAAACCCAATTCTTCAGTTTCATTGAAGAGCACTGAATATAGCATAAATGCCATTTTTATGCACCGTTAGAATGAAAGCATGAAGCAGGTTGCTAATTTTTAATGGACATTGAATACATGATGATAAGATTTGTATATATAAATATTTTCTTTTTTGATTATGTCATGAAACAGCTACTAGGATCACCGGAAGATTCAGATCTTGGTTTCCTTAGGAGTGACAATGCTCGCAAGTATGTTAGGCAGCTTCCTCGTTTCCCAAAGCAACCTTTTGCAGAAAAGTTTCCAGATATGTCTCCTGTGGCAATTGATCTTGCAGAAAAGATGCTGGTTTTTGATCCAAGCAAGCGCATCACTGGTATGCCTTAGTATGCCACTTCAACACCGATTGCTGTTTTTTTGGTTCCTTCATTCTTTTTTCTTATAAGAAACATCTCTTCTATATGATGCATGTAAAGTTGAGGAAGCACTGAATCACCCATTTTTATCAAGTCTTCATGAGATAAACGAGGAGCCCACTTGCCCATCTCCTTTCATCTTTGATTTCGAGCAGACAACCTTGAACGAAGAAGATATAAAAGAGCTCATATGGAGGGAGTGTTTGAACTTCAATCATGATAGGATGCTCGAATGAAGTCAGCAACAATTGTCCTAATTTCGTTATATTGTTTTGTATTGCTTAATTAAAGTCCTGCTTGAAAGGTTGATTTTGGTGAAAAGGCTTGCTTTTGTATAAATACAAGACTATAGGTTCTCCCGGAGGCGTTGAGAATTGAGATGGTGGAAAGGGTTTTCGTTTCTTGGGTTTATATGGGAGTTCCAGGATTCATTTTATATAGTGTTGGGGAATCCTGTCATCATTAAAAGGGTGATATGTACTCCATAAAAGAAGGCTATATAGTCTCTTAAGTCTCTTATTGTGTATGGTGTTGATCTGTCTGTATATTGTTTACGTCCAACTTATTTATACGAGGGAAACAATAACTAAAGAATGGGAGCAATATTTTGACTCTGTTTTCATCTGAAACAGTTGCTGGATTGGGAGTGTACGTTTATTCCTTGGCTTGACTTGAATTGCTTGCAACACTCCGACTGAGAAGATGCAATGGAACCTCGTTGAAAAAAAGAAATTGTCATAAACCTTGTAGTTGTAACTTTTAGAGAGAGAATTTTGCTTGCGACCATTGCCATTCTTTGCTTCAATTAATGCCAGCGTTTTTTTTTTGCATCTCAGCACCACAAAAGTAAAGTTAATTATAAAGGCAAAATTACACATTGTCACTTGCTGTTCCTGGCAACTTTCGGTCATTCAGATGATTGTAAAAGGGAAGACTTTTGAAGAAATATATCTAATCACCGTAAATGAAATCCAAAGTATGAGATAGCCTCCATAAATACAATACCACCTTCGGAATTGATGAAGGAAGAGCGAGATTAGAATTTGATCACTTGTTTTGGCTGACTCCCAAGCTTCCCAAGTGCCTTATCCAATGCAGAGTTAAAATTGTCAAATGGAACCAACTCCATCCTGCAAAGAAGAGCAGAAAACGGTTTACATACATGAGAATTAAGTAACTGATGGCAAGTGAGCTCGTCTATAATATGATCATACTCGTATTTCAACTTCCTCTCTTTTGCCAGGCATAGAAGGTAATCGACCATATCTCTGCACTCTTTTGCTTTATCAGCGCCTAACCATTTCTGTAGCCAGAATCCTCTCAAGGAAAGGTCCTGAAAACAGAAGGGAAACATGGATTGATGGTAGTTAACAGCAGCAAGTAACTGAGCTGCAATAGAATAGAGGTAATCCTGGATTACCTTGAAAATGAACGAGGAAGTTGATACTGTGATAGGCTTCTTGGACATTCCGCCATATGTTACCATGGTTCCTCCCTGCCTTAAATGATGAATTAAGGGAAGTTAGATTCTTACTACAAGAGAAATGTCTATAGTCCTCAATACTTTACTAGCAGGGCATGTTGTCAGACCTTAAGAACTTGAGAACCAAAGAAGCAGCGTTTCCACCAACACAGTTGAATCCCAGAGTGGGTTCAGGTACATTTGACTAGCATACGTCAGTTACAAGAGATGATGAGTGAATAGTCAAAAATAAAAATAATAAGAATAATAAATATATATATTTAATAGCTTTAATAACATGAAATTCATATGAGGAATGAAGATCTCTCTAGAATCAACCATGATGTGTCCATAAATGATGATACCAGAAGGCCCTTAACATTCTTCACTTCTAGTTGGCTCTCAGTAAACACTTCATCAGCACCAAGAGCTTTTAACCTTTCTTTTACTTCATCCGACCCAGGCCTAAAGCAAGCAGAGATGATAAATTAAGATGCGCTGGAAAAAAATGGCATGCATCGTAATACAAAACCCTAAACAGATAAGAAAGTACAGTCAATTAAACCATTTAACACAATTTTTGCAGTCAATGACAGTCAGACTTTCTCCTTAACGAATATCCCAACCTGACGATACCATCTAAGTTAAAAAAATGGAAGTGCAATGACAAACTCAGATGCCTACAAGGAGCTAAGTACAGCACCTGTCCCGTATAATATTAACGCTATGAATGCCACGAAATCTTGCAAGCTGGATTACACATTGCCCCACAATGCTTGTAGCCCCATTTTGGACAATTGAATCTCCTGCTCATATAAGAATAATCAGGAAGATCAAGTGATAGAAGCTTGAAAATTGTCAAATACCACATCAACAGCTGTACCTGAGTTTAAAGTTGTGAAGTCTTCAAGCATTCTTAAAGCTGTCAAAGGATTAACAGTAACTGTTGCAGCATACTCAATTGGTGAATCTTTACTGATTTTGTGCCACATATCCTGGTCCTTCACGACATAAGTTTGCCATGTTCCTGCCAATAAATTTTCAGTTGACATTGGCATTCAAGCAGAATGATAAGATGAGTCTGCATGCTCATTCTGCTATTCTACTTTAAGGAATCATATCTTTCTAACTTTATAACTTTAAAACATTTAAATAAGAAAAATGACAGAAACTTCAACCAATTTGTTAAGGCCATATTCAGCATTGCTTCTGGGTGTTCAAACGTGGCTTTTGAACCAAGAAGCAAACCCAGAAGCAACGCCAAACGTGTGCATTTGCAACAAAATCAGATTTGGAAACCTGGCAATCGCTCCAAACGCAAAAGCCCCTAAGTTGGTGCTTTTGAGGTTGGTTTGTCAACCTTTATGGGTAAAAAGACACTAATTTTCAACAAACACTAGCCATTCTTACCTTCCCGACCCCAATTCTCTTAACAGCACTCAGTTTCACGTTCGGACTAAAAAATGAATCGATATATCAAATTCAACTCCTAAAATTCAAGATACATAACCCGGAATACTTTTAGGATCATTGATGTTAAACAAGTTGCAATCAAAGTAAAATTACAATGGCATAGCAAAAGATGCAAAGAACAAACCAGAGGAGGGTGGAGACGGAATGACCAAGTCACCCGGCGAGAGATCCTTAACAGCAGAACCAACAGAATATACTTCTCCAACACCTTCATAGCCTCCAACTGCTGGCACTTGTGGCCTCACAGGGTATACTCCTGTACACCAAAAATTCACTTCTTTTTGAACAAAACGCTTAAAACCATTACTATTAAAAGCTGCCCAATTCAACTAAACCATTACTTTTTTAATCAAATGAAGTAAAACCCAAGTGGGGAAAAATAAAAAGACAAACCTTCAATCCGGTTAATATCAGAGGGATTAATAGGAGCAGCCAACATTTTAACGCAAACTTGATTCTCCTTCACTTCTACTGGGGATAGCTCGATCACTCTGTAAATACCAAAATAAGCAATAAAATAGAAAAAAAAAAAAGAAAAGGAGAAAAAAAAAACTTAAAATTTGGGGACCTGGTAACGGAGTCGGGTGGGCCGTGGTGCTCGTAGACGACGGCTTTGGAAGGCGGAGACATGATTGTCGTCAATGCCCTCACGGTTTGCGCTTGTTGGAAAATCCTGGAAGAACTCCGTTTCAGACTCCATAAACCGGTGTTCACTGCTTGTAGCGCTATTGATCTCGTCACCGCCATTGTCAGAGCTAAAGAAAACAATGAAATATCTTGTGTGTCATCCACACCCGACAGTTGAAAAACGGCGATGTCGGTGAGTTTGAGGAATACTTAAGCCCACTGACTAGCTCTGCCTATCTGAGACAATCCAACACCGACCCAAATCTTAGTGGAAAATGGGCTAAGCTTAGGGTAGCCCGTCCCAAATTCTGGAGCAACATGATCTTGATCTTCTATTGGAACTGGGCTAGGCTTAGTTGAGTAAAAAAACACAACAAAATAATTACATCATTTTGCACCATCTTAAAAAACAAAATTGTAATTAATATTAAGCTTCGCTGTTTCAAAACAAAAAATTGGTGTAGTTTGATATTGTTAAAATATTTTGCTTTTAATTTTCATTATTAAAATTTAATTTTTGATGGATTTAGATATTGTAAAAAATTTTATTGATTAGTAATAATAATAATAATAATATAAAATTTATTTAATATTATATTTTAAAAATATTTATATCAATTAACTGAATTAATGTTAAACTCAATATATTTATATTATTTACCAATCGCATTCTTTATTTTTTATTTTTAGAAATTTCACTTATTTTAACAAAACTTATAATAATAATTTTGACTTTACGAACCATAGGCATAAATACAATATACATTTTTTACATTTATTTAAATAAAATTATGAAGTTTGAGAATTTTATTTTATTCTAATATTATTCAAATATTAATATAAATATTATAATATAATATTCCTCGGAGTTTCCTACTAATGTCCAAAATTTTCAGTTATGGCCCAATATGAGAGTATTTTTGGGAGAAAACAAAAAGAAATGGATAAGAATATATTAATTATTATAATCCAAAAAACAACAAATGGATAAGGATTATCGCATGTGTCAAACAAATTTCAGGTAAAGGGTATTCGCGACAACATTTAAAACGACCTCGTTTTTAACCTAGGGCTTCCCATCCGTCCTCAGGGACACGCAAAACAAAGACCTTTTAAGGGGCCGTAAACATAGCCACGTGTCCCTTCTCAGATCTGAGAGTATCGATTTAAGATTCGGCTCTCATTGCTATGCTCGCAGCTTTTGATTTTTCCAACGTCATCATGTCATCGATGGATCACATTCAGACACGTGGAATTCGTTACTTGCCACGTGAACATCTGCACAGCTCCACACCTCCACTTGTTCCACGTCAGCATCTCTCCCCAGAATAATATCTTCTCTCTCGGTCTTAGTTTTTCTCTCTAAAAAGCCATTTTTTTCCCTCAAATATTTTTCTTTGCCAGTTAAGCGTTTTTCTTTGCTAATTAAGTACTTTATAAAAAAAAAAAAAGAGAAAAAAGTTTTGAAAAAAAAAATTATGAAAACTGCACTAACCAGTTTATATTGAAAAAACTCAAACAAAAAAAGTGGTAATAAAACTTAGATTAAACAAGAAGTAATCTTTTTTTTTTTTGGCCACAAAAGAAGAAGTAATCTTGTTTTCTAGTTTGAGAGCATCTAATGGCGGCTTCCTCTTCCATGGATAAGCTGTAAAGGTGTCAACTTTCATTTTCATTTTTTTTTTTTTTGGGTTTTCTATTTATTTCCAATACTCTTTTAAAGTTTCTTTCTTTTCATTTTTTGGATTGGGGTTTTTCTGCTTGAGCAAATCTACTAGGACCCTTTTTTTATGTGTTTAATTCAATGCTTTGTTTGGCAGCTGAGAGAAGGTGAATGAAACATGGGAGCAAGCTAGAAGCTTCACTTCTTTGTTACTTTATCTTTTGTTGTTTGAAGTGTGATTTAAGAATAGTCTTTTTTTTTTTTTTCATTTAGATCTGATATTTGCTTGTAAAAATCTTTGATTTATTTGGAGATTGAATGGAAAGGTCACTGCTTTTTAAGGAATTATTAGACGATATATTTTGCTGCAGGTAGTATGCAAGTTTTAAATTTTATAGATAACTGAATGTGATTTTATCTTCTGGGATCATTAGCAATTTCAATATAATATTTTAGGACTTGGACTTTCTATTTGTTTGTATAAATTTTGCTCTGGATGTATAAAGATTCTAAAACTTTACTGGTTTCTAGTATTTTGTGATGGATGGAGTATGGTTGGCTGTGTTTCCTTTCTCTGCTTATTGAACATTTTTACTTTATTTATTGTTATTACTAACAAGAGCATCTGGTCTATTCTATTGTTTGCATTCCTCATTATTGATGTTTTTGAATCTGGTTGATGGGAGCTGTATCAGTGAACAATGGGGTTTTGTCGATAAAGGAAAGGTGTGCAACAAAATGTGTCACGGGCAAAAAGAAGCAAGGAAAGGAGTTGTGAGGGAGGGGCAAGTTTTAGGTTCATCTGAGGAAGACGAATCAAGGATTGTTGAGAGAACTATAAATGTAAATAATGGGTCCTTGGGAGCAATTGAGGTGCGTGATGTGTCGGAAATACCGCAACAACAACCTCGAGGTTCCATGATACGTTGGGATAGGTTTCTCCCTTTCGGGTCTATCAAAGTTCTCCTTGTGGAAAATGATGACTCGACTCGCCATGTCGTTAGTGCACTACTACAGAATTGTTGTTATGAAGGTGAGTTTTCTTGTTTCTTTTATTGGTAGATTGAATGTTGAGAACTTGAACTCTTAAAGGTGTTGCTAGGTTTCCTAGTGAAATAAAATTGTAGTGGTAATTCTACCTTAAGTTTTAAAATAATCAAATGGAGAGTATGGCAGAATGATCATTTTCTTTCTGCTTTCATTCTGAAGGAATCATCTATTGCTTGTTGAAAGAAGTAAATTTTAGGAACATTTGCATCATTTGGTTTAGATTTCTTCACTTACCACCATCCAAATGGGTTGGGATGGTTCAAGCTTTTAAATGGTGTTCAATGGGAATGCCACAGGAACTTTCACGGTTTTGATTAAAAACTTTAAATGAATGATTTTCTGGTGCTTTGGTATCTTTATGATTTTGATATGCCATTGGTGAAGCTGCACTTTCTATGTGTAGACATTTGTGTTTATTAAAAGCCATAAGAAGTTGAAAGACAAGCTTAACTACTCTTTTTCCTGGCAGTTATGGCTGTTTCAAATGGTCTTCAAGCATGGAAAGTTCTAGAAGATCTGACTAACCACATTGATATTGTCCTGACAGAGGAAAATATGCCTGTTTTATCAGGAATTGATCTTTTATGCAAGATTATGAACCATAAAACTTTAAAGAATATCCCTGTGATAAGTAAGTGTCATTCACTAGCATTTCAAAATTGCTTTAATGGATATGTAAGGTCTAATTTTAATGGTTATTTCTGGTTTGATATATTTAATTATCATCACCACTGACATTCTATATTTTGCAGTGATGTCATCTCATGATTCTATCAGTCTAGTCTTTAAGTGTTTGTCAAAGGGTGCAGTTGATTTTTTAGTAAAACCTATTCGGAAGAATGAGCTTAAAAATCTCTGGCAGCATGTTTGGAGGAGATGCCCCAGTGTGAGTTCCTCTACATCTCTGCTTCAAATGTGATTTTGTCTTATGATTGAATTTGGAGTTTAATCAGTACTTGTATTTATTCAGAGATCCAATTAGTGTTCCCTAGAAAGTACTGACACAAAAATTTCCCAGTAAAGTTGAAGTTTTTTAAAAGCAATTGTTTAAAGTTCTTTAAGATTATATTGTCTCAATAGCAGTTTTTGTCATATTGGAATTGCAGATCTTATTTCTGATTATGTTGTTGCCATTCAGTGCATTGAAGGCAATGAGTTTTAAAGTATCTCCTCAATGTTGGATTAATTTCTCATTCTCTCTTAGTCTAGCGGCAGTGGGAGTGAAAGTGGAACACAGTCCAAAAAGTCTATTAAGTCAACAGGTAATGATAAGCCTGAGAATTATGCTGCCAGCAGTGATGAACATGATAATCAGAGTGATGGACTGATTATTTGTGACGGAAGTGAAAATGGGAGCGGCACTCAGGTAAGGATATGTGAGTAGTTGCAAGTAACTTAACTAGTTGGGAAGAGATTAACAGAAGGGGTTATTACCGCAATTAACCATCTTTTAATTTTTTGGCATCTGAGATCTAGGATATTGCTTGTAGTTATGGTTGAGCTTATTTGTATTCTTTCTAGAGTTCATGGACAAAAAGGGCAGCTGAAGCTGAGAGCTCTCAGCCAATGTCATCCTCAAATCAATTGCCTGATGCTCCTGATATCACTTGCGCCCAGGCAGTTCATGTAAAGTGGGAAAAATGTGGGAGCTTGTGGGCATGTGTTAACACAACAAAAGAATGCCAAGAACTGCATGAACAAGTTGGTACGGCTTGTGATAATTTTTTTATCATTTTGATCTTTCTTTTACTTTGTTGTTTGTGAGTAAAGCTGTATGTAATTCATTTTCCAGATGATGCTATGGAGAGTGAGGACTTGGAAGTAAAAAGAAATCCAGAATTGCAATTTGGACAACTACATGAAAATCTACGTGCTCACTGGGCAAGCATCAAGCAGAATGGGTTGCCTGAAGCAGAATGTCAGCAATTTGACAGTGGGCCGTTAGAGCACTTGAATGAGAACATAACTGGCAATGATCGAACCCCTAATATAATTTCTGCAAGTTCCAACTGTATCAATCAACAAGCTGATAGCCGAGATTCTGATACTCCAGGTGGCCTTTCTGATGTCCCACAAATCAAAGATGGAGCATCCCATGCATTTGGAGAAATACTATCCCTTGAACTGACTCTTAAGAGGCTGCAAGGAGCAGCAGATAGTCGAAACGCTGCAAATGATGAGCACAATGTTTTGAGGCATTCTGATTCATCAGCTTTCTCAAAGTAAGAATGTTACTTGCAGTCTTTAAACCTCATTAGAATCAAACTCAAAATCATTCTTCTCACTTTCCTCCTCACATAATATGCAGATACAGTACTGCATCTTCTGCTAATCAGGTATGGTCTATAGCACTCAGGCAGCGAGTATAGGGGATGTCACTGTTTTAATCACTCAAATTCACAACATTTTCCCTTTTCCTCTTAATCAATGGCTTGCATGTCGCTTAGAGCAACTATTGCACTGCCAATAATATGACAGCAATAAACACGGAAAGGGTGAGTCCATAGAGGCAAGACCCTTTGAGTAGTTCTAATTTTTCTATCCATGATTCCAGGCTCACACAGGAAATGTAGGCAGCTGTTCTCCACTCGATAATAGTTCTGTTACAATGAAGACAGAAACAGTGCGCACTTTTCTGTCTCATTCAAATGGGATTCTTTTGAATCAGCCATCAATAGGAAGCAGCAACAAAAATGATATGACCACCACTGCTAAATGTGTCAGCCGAAAGCCAGAAACTTTGAATGAAAAGCCTGGGTCCATTTCAGCATTTAAACGCTTTCACTCTTCTTCCTTCCAGCCAATGCAGAATGGTCATATCTGTTCATATCAAGAAGTGTTAAATGAAACAGCAGATGATACTGGATTTAAAAATGCTCATTTGCAATCGAGAAGTTCATATCAGGTGTTTCATGTGCAGCACCAATGTCATCTCCACCAAATTGAGAAAGAGCAGCATCACCTGCAGCCAGACCATGATTCCTTGCTGAAGATCATGGCAATAACTGCTAGACAATGCAGATCATCTGATGTGTTTGAAGGGCCCTCTGAATGTAATATCATAAACTATAGTGTAAATGGGAGTGTCTTGAGGAGTAACCATGGCACCAATGGACCTAATGGGAGCAGCAGTGGTTTAAATGCTGAAACTGCAATCATGGAAAGTGACAATGGAGCAGCTGGTGCAATGAGTGGGAGAAGCAGTGGTAGTGGAGCTGATGAAGATCGGGTTGCACAGAGAGTGGCTGCCTTAACCAAATTTCGTCAGAAAAGAAAAGAAAGATGTTTTGAAAAGAGGGTAATTCACTTTTTCATTTTCTGTCTTTGCAATAGAGCAACAATGGGCTTTGCATAGTAACCATATCTTGCTGGCCTCTAAAAATTGTCTTAATAAATCAAGGAGTTTGGTTCCGAGTTTCACATCATCTCGAGTTTGACTTATTGGATGGATAACCATTTCTAAGCGTCTAGAACTATAATGAATTATAGGAATTGGAAAGCATAATATCTACTCCTGGCTATGAATTATCTGTATGATCAAACCAGGAAGTTGTAGAATGTCCATTACAGCATTAAAGGATCAGTTGGATTGATGCAATAAAAGTACCGTTTACATGGAGTGATATACGAAGTGGTACTTTTATTTTGGCTCTCTACCAAATGGGGGTACTTATTCCGTTTTTTCTTTTCTTTTTTTTTTTAATAAATAGTTTGAAATGGATTACGTGATATCATTTGTGTAATTCCTGCATCTCTTGTTTCAATTGCACTAAAAAAATTGCATGTCTGCAAACAAGTTTGCCATATTATTAAATACAACTTCCATGGATGGTTGGGGGAATATAGCGGCATTCTAAATGTGAATTTAGTCTGCTGTTAAATTTCATAATAAGAACATGAAGTTGGCACTTGCCTCTGCTTTAGAGTTTATCATGTAAGAGTGATAAAACCAAACCTTCTTCTATGTTCTTGTTTCTCAGGTACGATACCAGAGCAGGAAAAAGTTGGCAGAACAACGTCCTCGCGTCAAGGGACAGTTTGTGCGGCTAATCGTGTATAATATTTCAAACTGTAGTGTAGATTATCAATTGGTCATCTCATGATTAGTACTCCTCTAACCAGGTCTCTCACCATCTCTTTGCTTCTCAGGTCTGATTCTGAAGGAGGAAAAGATTGTTTGAGTAATGGCCTCGCATCTGAAGACAATTCTTCTGATAGTGTAAGATAACGCAGGCAGGGTTGCTGATTGCTGACTTGACCTTTTTCCTTGCTAATGCTTATAAATGTGTGTATATGAGACGAGCACTGGCTGTGTGTTTAGGGAAGGAATACGTTAATATGGACCGGTTTTTTTTTTTTTTTTGCTTGTTTCTTCTTTCAATGAGGAGCTAATATCATATTGCTTGTAAATAAACAATAGATTTTAGAACTTACATCAATACTTTGAACGGTATGTCATCGTTGTGAACTTTGATGAATTTCAGCATGGAGACTGATCTTGCATGGGATAATTTCTTCCTTTTCTTGATCAATTAAACAGGCTTTAGTCTCTTTTCTTGTAGCTCCGTTGTTTTTGTTAGTAGATTTAAAAAAAACAGAAATAGCAAGAAAAAAAAAAAGGTTTTGAGACGTGAATAATATTATCTTAAAGGTAATTATATTTATAAGGTATAATAAAGTTTTAAAATTTTTTAAATCAAAAGTTATGAAATTGGTCAGGTAGAAAGATCTATTTATAATAAATGATCAATCATTAATCAAATCAATTTAAAAAGTCATGACATTTTGTATAATTATATTTTATTATTTAAATAAATTTTATTTAAACAATCATGTTTTTTACTATTTAAGCATATTTATTCGAAATTAATAATATTTCGAAATAAATAAAAAATAATAATAATAATAATAAAGATTTAAAAATTAAATCAATTTGTCAAACAAATTCAAATGTTTAAGTGCTCATCTTTGACTTTTAAAATCATTTAATCTACTAAAAAAATTCTTAACAAGCTTAAATGACTTAGTTCAATCTAACACTTAGATCAATTACTTAAATAATATAAGTAATTTCTTTTAAATCATTTATAAGTGATCTTTCTACTCAACGTAAGATACACTATATTTTAAACTAACAACAGTTTTAATTCAATTCTAACTGCAGCTGCCGCCGTTGATCTTCAATGGTGTCAGTTATTTTACTTAATTGCACTATCAGGAGTTAGCTTCATTTAATCCATCATTTCCTACTGATTATAGCATGAAGAACTAGTTGATCAGACATAAGAAACAAACACCAGAACTAGACGAAATGTTTAGCTGTTTGGCCTCAGGAAACATCCCTTATTTATACTTGACAAAAGTTTGGATTATTTTAAAGTTTCGTTTTGACATGGATTGAACTAGCTTCCATATGATGAATTCTGGGGAGTGTCTGTTGGTCTATGTGGACGCAGAAATGTTTCTTTCAGGAACCGGTTGGTTCTAAGGCAAGTGCTTGGTCTGATGCAAAGTAAACGTGATAGCCATCAATTAGAGATGGCAACGGGACTGTGAATCTTTAATACCTTCATCCAATTTCGCTTCAATTCTACGATGCATTACTATTTTTTTATAACATATATATGTGTATAATACATATTGAATTTGATCTTAATTTTTTTTTAAATTATCTTATATTTGATTCAATTCTGATATTTTTTTTTTTTACATCTGTTCCGATCGTAGGATGCGGATTGAATTATCATCCTCGACTTAAGCAAATTAGCTATGGAAGTGGAATAAAACCATTTACTACGGAAAAAGTCAAAAACTGCTAGGCCTACCAGGATATTGGTTTCTCCTTAATTATATAAAAAAAAGAGAGATATGATGAGAGGAAATGACAGGGCAAAATGGAAAAGAAATGGAGGAAATGTACACTTAACTTCAAACCAAACCATATCTCCTTTTTTAGCAGTTACTGACTCAATTGCAGCTGGGGCCATTAAAGGTTGTGATAACATAGAATTTGGTTCCCTCTCAGCCCCTTGAAATTTGGGCAGTTTTCTGGACTCTTGACTAAGATTGAATTGGTTAATAGATTATGGTATGGAAACAGCATTTTTAATCATTACTACACTGCTCATTTGCTGTTTTAAGAACCCCAAAACAAACCCACTGTAATTTTCTTCGCATATTTTGGACAGGTGTTTTTTTTTTTTCTGAATCTTAATGCAATGGTGGTTGCTCCTCTTGAATGCTATTGCTGGATTATAATAATGGTAGATCAACAACCACGATATTTTCTTGCAGAAGAAACTGTGCCTTGATTTCTTGATTCATTACAGAAGAAAAAAGCAGTGGCCAGTAGGAAGGACGACACTGACAAAGGCTAAAATCCCTTCCTTACATAGCTTTCATTGTCTAGAAGGTGGATAGGCCAAAGGACTGAAATTCAAGCTTCAGGATTTTAATCAATTGATATAGGATACATTTGGTATATAAAAAATATATACGAGATTAAATCTTAATTGTTGACTAAAAATTCAATATTTCATCGACAAATCAATTACCTACATATGAATTTTAATCATTTTAACAAGAGAGAACGAAATCTTCAAAAGGAACTTACAAAAAAAAAAAAAAGGATTGATATAATGTTTAATCTTTTCATTTTTTACAAAAGAAATCTTGTTTCCTAATCATTCACAGCCTTATGAAAGATTTATTAGTATAATCAAGTTATGTCATGACCGTGTGAAAGAAAGATCTTCAACACTGGATAGAGCGAAGAATTATTATTGCAAAGCTGAAAAGTAATAAAGTAGGCTCTATGGGCTACCATTGGCTATTGGATACAAATGAAAAGAAAAATGTGATAAATGGGTTTTATTTTATTTTATTTTATTTTTTTAAAGCAGAAGGGAAAAATAGTCGTGTTTAGATTGTGGCTCATTAAAATTAAAAAGATCAAAAGTCAACTATTGTCTGACACATAATCAATTTGGCCCTAAAAGTCCTAAACTGTGTCTTTATTCGCCACTAATAGTGGGTTTTGGTCGCCTTGTTTGACTATGAATGAAATCAAACATGTCAGAAATACTTTTTATTACAAGTGGAAAAAAATATTACAAAATTTTTTATTGATATAAATAAAAAATAGAGATATATACACTCATTTCATATATTTATGTCGTCACTTTAAGATTTAGGCGAAAAGTATTAAAATATTTATGAAGTATAAAAAAAATTTAAAAATTTGTATATTATGTAAAATGATTATATTAAAAAAATATATATAAATTTTTATATATTATACAAAGATGAAATTTTTAAATTTCATTAATGATACATGTATTAAATGCTAGCTAGGGTTAGGGTGAGGCTTGCCTCTAAAGTCTACACATAGTAAGATATAATTTTTTATTTTATTTTTTATGGAAGGATATATGAAACAAAAGTTATCTTAAAATTTTAATAAATGATTGATTTAATCAATTAAGATAATTTTTTTTTTATAAAAAATTTTTGAGTTCGAGTCTTATCAGTGATTATCTCAAATGTACGATATTTTTTGCTTAAAAAAAACCTAAAATTAAGAAAAATACCATTACTAATTAATTGAGCTTAAAAAAAAAAAACAAAATGCTAATACATATTTGGACATTATCCTGATCCCTAAGTCATGGGTAACAGGATATGAAAGACTTTGAGAACATAATGAATTTGTCAAAAACTTTAACCTTAATACCACCAAAAACCTAGATTAAATTGTACATGCAAAAATGTCAAAAAACCATTGCAAAGAATTCTTTGTTAATGATGATGACCAACCACATAAGTCAAAGAAAATATCTCTTAAGCGACAATTTAGAGAAAGATATCAAAATGGAGATCCTAAAATTGATTTTTTTAATGAACCGTAAATCTAATTTCTACGTTATTTATTCTAAAAAAATAAGACACCATAAACAACCCAAGCAACCCGACCAGATTAAAACTCTCAAAAACCTATAAATCCATAACCATTGCCTTGCTATGCAATTGGTGTTGTATGCATTGCAAAAGAATAAAAAGAAAAATTAAAATAGTTTCATTGCAAACAACAAATACAAAGCACTATTCCTCATAACATTGTTCCTCAACCACATCCTCAGGTTTGCGTGATTCAAAACTTGGGATCTTCTTATTATGGTGCTGAACTTCCTCCTTTGCCAAAGTTTCAGAAAGATTACATCCAACTCATGCTAAAGATCTCAAACCCTAACGACAGAAATGCACAACGAAACCAGAAAAAAGATCTTAATGAATCATATCATTTGGTCAAATACTTGAGAAATTTTTAATTATATGTTTTTTAAAAACATCCTCAATATCTGCAAATATATATATATATATATATGCTTCTTCAACTATAATTAGAAGTGTTTTTTCGATTCAATTAATTTTGAATTGAATTATATAAAATCAGATTAATTAAATTTTGTTATTTTATTTTTGTTAATTGAATTGAATTTTTTAATTTTAAAAATTAATTGATCAAAATTAATTAAATTAGTTCGGTTAATTTTTTAAATTAATCAAATAATAAAATATATTAAATTAAGTTATTTTAAAAAATTTTAATTTCTTATATTTAAAATAAATTAAATAAAATCATTCAACAAAAATATTCAAATACCAAAATATTAAGTTAAAAATTTTAATAACTTGAAATGAAATGAGTAATTTCATATTTTGATTTTATATATAAATTTTATTATATTTTGATTAATTTTGATTTTGGAACTGAATTAATTGAAAATAAAATTTTTTTAAAAATTATTTTTGATAATGAATCAAAATTCAATAATTGATTAATTAATTAAATTAAATTAATTCAGTTAATTAATTTAATTAAAATCGACTTTTGAACTCCCATGACTACAATCCTTTCAAAATTTTGACTCAAGTTAGTCAATTAATAAATAAACCAACAAATCATTATAAAATAAAAAAGTCTTATATCATACAATTGGAACGAAATTTTACATGGGAAGTGTTAAGCATCACCTGTTTATTTTAATTTTTAATTCACTTACGAATTATTAGATAGTTTTTTAGATTATAACTTCCGACATCATTTTATTGTTTCTATCTTGCTTTTTTTTTTTTTTAATTTTAACAAAAAAAAAGTTGAAACTGTCTCATATCTAATTTTTTAATATATTATAAAAATACGTATCATTCTATTAATTTTGATTATAAAACTTAAAAACTTGATTATAAAGCTTAAAAACATTATTACCGGAGAATAAGATAATTTTTTTATTAATATTTTAAAAATTAAAATATAAAAGCATTAAAAAGGGAATATTCAATTTCAAAAATTTTTTTTAATTGGAGTTTTTAGATTCATCAACTTTAAATGAGCGACAAATACAAATAAAAAATTATATAATAAAAATATATTTATCAATTTCTTAACTTTACTTAAGTTTAAAAATTTCACTAAAAAAAAAAAAAAAAACTAACACTTCGAAAAATAAGGAGTAAATAGTAAACGGTGAAAACGGTTCGTAAAATTCCTGGAGGCTGGAACTTTCCTTAACCAAATGCCAACGCGTTTACCGAGTGGTGACGGTGAAAGTTAAATGCCAGCTGATCAGCTGCTATTCTGACAGATGTAACCATACCATTGGTCTAGATCCTTGCATTCTGTTGATTGCGTGTGACTGATACCAATTATAATAACTTTTTTTGAGACGCGTGGATCACCGCTCAGCTGTTAATAAAATTGAACATAAACAAAATAACTGCTAAAAAAAAAGCGTGTGCTAGTGGGTCCTACCATCCATGTGGCTCCCACGGAAAGGTTTGACTCACCTGCTCAAAATTTAAAATCGGACGGTGATTAAAGGCTGTCTGTGATGTATACGTCACTGTGGGACAATATTCAAAGCCGCCACGTTAGCAAATCGGTCTTTTTTTGAAAAAGGAAACAGATAAAAAAACGACTGCACGTCCCTCTCCGATGATTTGACCAAAAAGCTCTTTATAAATGACGTGGCGCATTCTTATGGGTTTAGGCTTTAACAAGTTTCCTGAGTCGGTTTAGGCCTGAATACTACCTAAATTTATAAAAATAGAATATATAGAGAAATATAAAACCCTGAAAATCAGGACTTTTTTCCTTTGCTCTGTTTTCTCTCATTCTGAGCATTTTCTTTCTTTTTTTTCCTGGTAATTTCTGGGATTCAAATTTTTTTCCTGCAGCTCAGAAAGAGAAGGAAAAGACAAAGGAAAGAGAAAGAAAAAGGAGAGTGGGAAAATTTTAATTCTTTTTTAATTATTATTTAGCATGGGTTGTTTTTGGTGCACTGGAAATTCAAGGCAAAGATCGAAAAAGCTAACCAACAAGAATGATGACAGCAGCTACCAACGCAAGCTCCATGATCTAATGAAAGACAGTTCGGGTATTGAGATTTTGTTTTCAAATTCTATGGTTTTCTTTTTCTTTTTATTTTTGGCGAAGTTAAATACATTGTGTTTGATCATGGTGTTGAATTTACGTTCTTGCTGTTATCATTCTTGTTTTTGTTTTTTATGGGCTGTTTTTGTGTTAGGTATGTGTCATTCTTGAAATCAAAGACTCTAATTTTGTCGATTTTCTTCCTAACGCAAGTTTTCTTTTTCCTCTCTTTCTTGGATTAAGTTTTCAATGCTTTGTTTTTGTTGAAAGAAATGGAGTCTTTCTTGGTCACGATGTTTTCTTTTTGCTTCCTTTCTCTATATTTGATATTTTGATTGTCAAGCTAATGATTTTGAAGTGTAAATTTTGATTCTTGGCAAAAGGGTTTTAATTACTTCTTTCATCCATTTAATTGTGATTTTTTAGATGTAATAGTGAAATTTTATACATTATTTTCTTAACATGTGCTATATGTATAATGATGCTAGTAGTATTTTTGTTTGTTTGCATGATAGGAAACAAAGATCCATTATATAATCCAAAATCCGTACTGGGTGTTCTATTTGTCCTTGTTTCTTCTTTGTTTACTTTAAATATTGATATTCGTGGTCAAATTTTTTTTTAAATTCTCTTTGGTTTTTCCTTTTCATGGAGCGTCCGTCTTATGTCTTTTTCTTGGCTTTTTTCTTGTGGTTTTTGGTCCACCAATTAAAAGTTGCATTGAAGAAAGGCAGTGCATATGAGAGTGCAAAGAAGGAAGAGGTAGCTAAGAATGATCAGTTATCGTTGGATGTAAAGAATTTGAATTTGAATGATGAGGTTTCCAAGGATGGAAAAGATAGTAAACTGGCACAGTCATTTACATTTGCTGAACTTGCAGCTGCAACAGGCAACTTTAGGTCGGATTGTTTCTTGGGTGAAGGAGGTTTTGGAAAAGTTTACAAGGGATTCTTGGAGAAAACGAACCAGGTTGGTAGAGTTTTATATCATTTTGTTGTCAATATTGTTGAAAATTATGAATATTATCTTATCAAAACCTTATTACTTTAATTACTATGTTTCCTTAATTGTCTTATAACTCAATTCAACTTAACAAACCTGTATTATAATTTGGCATTGAGCGGTATGTTCATTGATGAAGTTGCTGGTTACTTTGCTGTTTCTTTTTTTTCCCTGATGTAGGATGTCGCTATCAAGCAACTTGATCTTAATGGTCTTCAGGGCATTAGGGAATTTGTTGTTGAAATATTGACATTAAGCATGGCTAAGCACCCAAATCTTGTAAAATTGATAGGGTTTTGTGCTGAGGATGAACAGAGACTACTGGTTTATGAGTACATGTCATTAGGGTCTTTGGAAAACCATTTACATGGTAAGCAAAATCTTCCTCCCATTTCCCTGCTGATTTCGTTATTGTTCTATGTACTTCTTATGACAATTCTGCCTATTATGTTATGCATTTTATTATTCATAGTTTGTTCCTCTTCATGGATACAGAGCTTCCACCCGGTAGAAAACCACTTGATTGGAACACAAGGATGAAAATAGCCGCTGGTGCAGCGAGGGGCTTAGAATATTTGCATGATAAAATGAAACCCCCTGTCATATACCGTGACTTGAAATGCTCCAATATTTTGCTTGGCGAGGGATACCATCCAAAGCTATCTGATTTTGGCTTGGCAAAAGTGGGTCCCATTGGGGATAAGACTCATGTTTCTACAAGGGTTATGGGCACGTATGGTTATTGTGCGCCAGATTATGCAATGACTGGACAGCTGACATTTAAATCAGATATTTACAGCTTTGGGGTTGTGTTCTTGGAACTTATTACTGGTAGGAAAGCAATTGACAATACAAGAGATCATTCAGAACAAAATCTTGTTGCATGGGTAAGATAAAGCTTATTCCACTTTTATCAATTAATATCTTTGATTTTTCAATTAGATATATTTCCATTTAAAATTGTCTGTTAAGAATCATTGATCTTGCATTGTCACTCTTTTTGGCCTGTTTATCATATTATATTGGATTGTTGGTTAAAAGTGTAACTGTAATGAATGTGGTTTTGTTTTGTATTATAATCTTAATTGTTGTATTCTAAGAAGTTTTCTGGCAGTATAATCTACTCTGCTACTTTGGTATCTTCATTATAAAGAAATTCTGTAATGAATTGTCGGTTAAAAAATTATGGCAAGCTTGATTTTTGTTCTGTCTTGTAGCTGATAATATTATATAGCAATCAAGGAACTGGTTTTAGAAGGGAACTTGATAAAGGGAAATGATAATTATTGGAAGTGGTCGCTTTGATCTGTTCTACAAATGCTTATTTTCTTATTTGCTTGCAGGCACGCCCCATGTTCAAAGACCGAAGGAATTTTTCGCAAATGGTTGACCCTCTGCTGCAAGGTCAATATCCTGTCAGAGGTCTCTACCAAGCACTCGCCATTGCTGCAATGTGTGTTCAGGAGCAGCCTAATATGCGGCCGGCTATTTCAGATGTGGTTTTGGCTCTGAATTACCTATCCTCCCAGAAATATGACCCTAACAAATCTGTTCATACCTCTCGAAGAAACATGGCATCATCAGCAGTGAATCGGAATATTGTTGCAGATCATGAGCATAACGGTCACTGAGCTGGAGGACAAAGTTAAAAATAAAGTGGCAAATATTGTTGTTCTGCGGTGTTAATACAAAGTGCCTGGTTATCAATTTTTGCATTACAGGAGATAACAGGCATACTTTCCATCTTAATCTCCAGACAGATTTTCTTTCGTCCTTTACTCCCCCTCTGATGGTGTACATGTGCGTTGGGGTTCTTGTATGTAAGATGCTTCTTTGTAGGAACCATTTTCCCATAATACTAGTTTAGCCCTCCTATTTAAAGTGATGAGTACCTGTCCTTCTTGCTCTCTTGCTTACTCCTATTAAAAAAAAGAAGAAGTGTGATTATCTACTCTCGAAGTGACGATCTCTTTTCAGAGCTTCACAATTACAATAAAAACAGGACTCATAAATGACTATATCTTTTCGATTATTGTTTCCATAAAGGTAATAGCAGCAATTAGATCAAGTGGGTAGTCTCCACAATATTCTCTTATTGTCGATTGGTTGTTTTAGATCCACGTCCGAACACTAGGATCACGATTTTCATGTCATTCTTAAATGTGCGAAGTCAAAATTGAGTATAGTTTAGTGCGTAGACGTTGGAAAGTATTAAATGCAAGGATTTATTAGACTTTTGGAAAGGGACTCTTGAGAAGGGTTTACCTAAGGTCCTAAGCCCAGCCGTGCTTGGGGACTAAATTTTCCAATTAACCTATTCAATTTGCAATTTATTTTGGATCACCACCTTCAACCAATTTATGCAAACCTTGCTAAACTCTTGCAAAACAGTTTGTTCTCTCTCTGTCAGGAACCAAAAGATTTCCCGCCTAAAGTCGTTAGAAGCCTAAGTAACTAACTGAAACCCAAGCCTTATTACTTCATCAGCTCCTAGCAAGAAAACACTTGAAACGTTTTTCTCCATCTCTATATTCTGCAAATTTCTCTTTTTTTGTCTCTCTTAAGCAGCTTGAAGAAAAGCAATCTCCTGAAAGATGATCCGACCTAGTCATCTTCCGGTTTCGGTTCCATGGGGTAACGATGCCAAGAAGGAAAGAGGGGGCTTCCAGTCTCGAGTGTTTCCATTGGCGGAGAGGTGGATCCATGTTATTCCTGTGATCGTCCTGCTCTGCTTCTTCATTCTCTGGTGGTTGTCTTGTCCGGGTATCATTCATATTTCTTCAAGATTTCAACAAACCATGCAAGCTCATCCCTTCTTTATTCTGAATTTTGTCTGTCTTGATGTTGTCTTAGATTGGGTACGTTGGTTTTAGTTCATTCGTTTTCGAGAAACTTTTTCTTTTTTGTTTCCTTTACCATCTATACATTGGTGACGAAAGCTTTTGTTTCTTTGATGGCTAATACTTGAGGTTATTGCCTTTTCTCCATTTGTGTTATTAATCTTTAAACCTTTGAGAATTTAATCTTTGTTTTCATTTTAATAACTCAAAATAAAAGAAAATAGAACTTTCGCAGTCTCATAAGTTAGTTCTGTTCAGAATTGTTGCTGAAGTGTCCTGTCCCCTTTGTTTGGATCATAAGAAAATGGTAGAAGGAAAGAAAATCTTTAAATTGCTTCAAAGGATCACACTTTTTGGTTTGTTCTTTTTGCATGTGGGTTTTGTTTTGTTTTTTCCTCATTCTTTCCTACATCAATTATTCATGGGATGCCTCAGAAGCAAAAATTCTTTGATTTCATTCTGATGGTAGTGAAAAAGCTTATGAAGTTATGCCATCTTCTTTGAATCTCAAGAAAGCTGTAATAAGGAAAAAGAAAAGGCAATTACAGAAGTGAAGTACTTTCTTGTATCTCAAACACCAAAATTCCAATATTTACTATTATTCAGGGTTGAAAATTCATGCTAACCATAATCAACTTACTCTTACTCAGTTTTTTATTAACTCTGAATCTCCCTTTTGGTTTGAAAGCAGTGAATGTGGAGATCAAGGATGGCAGAATTGTGGCTATACATCGTGTTGATATGCAATTGCCTCTTACTAATTCTCAGATTGATGTGGCCATCCTGGCGTCAGCTACATCACCAATTGCCTCAGTCCCACAGAATCTCACAGGGAATTTATTCTGAAGCAGATCTAGGGAGTAAGAGCAAATGAAGAATCATTGCTTCTGATTAGAAAATAGTTTTAAGGAATTCTCTTTTCTGTCAGTGTTGTAGTTACGTAGAGATAGAACATTTGCTCTATCATCAACAAACCAAAGAGATAGTAAGGAATATAACTGTCCTTGATTTTGTTTGCATTGAAATTACACATGTAAACACCATCAAGTGAAAAGAATGAATCATGTATTTGATAATGTGGTTCAAAGTTTGCTTTCCTGAGCCTGTTGGATTACTTCCTCGAGATTACGTCTGACCTCTGTTTTTCTAGACACCCATAGCATTATCTTATTCCTGTATGCTGTAAGCCTTGGGCCATTGTAAAAAAGAAGGTAGAAAATCATTAAACAATGACCTATGATGATCCCTTTTTCGGCCGTAATTCACTAATCTCACCCTCTCTGCAATTTCCCACAGATAAAACCATTGTGTTATTTTTATCTGTTGGAAGAACTCTGCAACAATCCCTCCTTGGCGACTGTAAAACGAATATTGGGGGTTCCGTTAGTAATAGCATCCATAATAATTTTCTTTAAACAGTGTCCTACCAATAACATATGAATACAAAAAGTTTACCTTCTGCCATCGAAGATCATCCCGCTTCTTTAGGACTATAACAGAATCAAGTTTCTCTGGGGAGGCCATTCGCCAACGGCAATAGCGACTGCGTGTTTTATGACGGTAGTACACTCCGATTGTTTGCTTCCTAGCATGTTCATACTTAACCTTGTTCATATAGAAAACGAAGGGCTTTTGGCAAGGGTGCCTTTCAACAGGCCTAGTGTTAAATGCATAAGCAGTGTAATCAGCTCTCTTGTACCAATTGAGAAAAGTTCTTGTAGGCATCTCAAGCTCTCTAGGAGACATCACTCCCCTCAAGATTTGAACCACATAGCCCCAAGACACTGAGATCGACCAGTATCGTGTTGAATCATAGCAGATGGATTGTTGCATCAAACTTGCCGAGTCCTCTTTGGCAGCTTCAAGCAGGTGTGCAAGTGCTTTGGCTCGTTTCATCCGAGGGAATATAGGCTCCACTACATCTATGTGGTGAATTGATACCAATGGGGTCACTGGATGGGCTCCCAAGAGGCCTAATAGGTCTCCATACACATCATACTGTACAAGCATAAGATAAAAACAATTTACCCTGCCTTCTAAATTCTTGAATGAAGATCAAGAAGAGCTTCATATCGTGCTTAATTATTTTCAACTTTCAAATTAGTTTGACGGGGAGTAATTTCATTTTATATATTTTCATTCTTTCCAATACAGTGAAATGTCAAGAGCCAAGTAGAAGATGTGAAGAAGTGGAAGTTTTACCTGATGGAAGCCAAGTTCCCTGGTGAGGGGCACTCCTAGCTCAGCCATGCAAGCCTGAATCCTGTCATCACTGCCATATAATGCTGGATATCGCTGGATGCACTGGTCCTGCATCTTTGCCAATTCTTTTGCCAATGGATAGCTTATTGCAAATCCACCCCCTCCAAATGCCATAGCATATGAAAAGAATATATTCTGAATATGACTCTCTGATGCACTCCCAACATAATAAAACTGTGTATGATCATACTTGGAAAGCACCCTTACCACATTGTCGGCAATAAAAACTGTATCATCATCCCCCATTACGAACCACCTAATATCCTTCATTCCAAGCTTAAGTGTTTCCGAAACCACCCTTGAGATCCTCAATGCCGATCTAGACCCCTGCCTGTTTATGTACTTAAACTTTGAAGTGTCCTGAGAAACCCGAATCTCAGGCAGCCCTTCATTTCTCCTGGTCCTAACTTTCTTATCCACCCAAACTACCCCTCTAGTCTCTTTTGGCCTCCACCATGCTTTTATGTACTCTTTTCTGATCTCCCACAAATTCGACGAAGCTGCTATCCCAAAAGCAATGTGTTTCAGCTCAGTGTCATATCGATGGTAATTACCCGGGGCTGGTTCAACACGGTGCACTTTCCTTCGCTCTACCGCTTTTTCAACTCGTGAAGAGCTGGTGGAGGAATAATTAAAGGGTGCTTCAATTTTTGTGGAGAGATTGGCTATATCCGGACAATCTTTGCGGTCATCGCTCAACAGGAGATTTGAGTATAGAATGTAAAGTAAAGCCACGGCTATGAAGAAATAAATGACCAATCCTCTAAACCTATTTTGTGGCGTACGTTGCTGGGTAGAGCTCATTTGTTGCTAAAGGTGAAAGTTTCTTGCAATGTCTTTGTACCTTTTTTTTTTTTGCTTTGGCTATTATTGTTGACATCGACGATGATGTTGTTGCTGCTGTTGATGCTTCCCATGTTTTCGGTTCAAATTATGGAGAAGGATAGTTATAGAAATCAGCTTGGACTGAGAATTGTTCGGATCTAAAAAGAGGAATTTTCCTTTTTTTGCATGTATATTTTTAATCCTTTCCTCCTTGCATGTGTCAAATTTTTTGTTCTGGTTGGTGGTTTGAGTTAATTTGTTATAGTGTTGCTGGAATGGCGTTCCGCCGCACCGCACACGGCCAACTCCATCTGCTTAAGGTATCTACTTAGTTTGGCATGAATGCATGACCTTCGTTGCCATTGGGCCTTGAGGCTGAAGCTCAAAACATCGAATTGACGCTCATAAAAGAAGAAAACGTGAACATATATATATATATATATATAATTTTAATTTAACTTTGAATCTCTTTACCTTTTATATTTATATGATTAAAAAAAGTATTACGTGCATGAATTATATTGAATTTGTAATTTTCAAACGTTAATTTTAATATTATATTAATTGATTTAAAAATTAATCGGTAAAATTAAATAAAATTTTAATTTGGCATTGCCTGAAATAAATAAAAAATTACCTAAATTACTCATGCAATCAGTCTCAAAATTGATCAAAACAATCCAAAGTGCATTGTTAGGGCAATAATTGTGGGCCAACAAGTATTGTGGTTAGGAGCAATTGGTTTCCGGTGAAGAACCCTAAGTTAAAAAAATGATCAAGTCTGCAATTAGAACATTAGCACGTGAATAATAAAAATGTTCAAATCACTCCATTTTCGTACCACACAAACTTTGACAGCTGAATTTTCAAAAAAGCTTAAAATTTTTTCCTTTTTTGCTCAGGAGTAGTAGCAGACGTAGTTTTACAAATTCAGTGATTAGTTTGATTATCTTCGATCGAAAGCAGGCAGTTAACTAAAAAAAATTAAATTCTGGTTAGTATTTTTTTAAGGAAGTGTTTAGTGTTATTTTTAAAATTATTATTATAAAATAATCATCAAAGTGATTTTATTATTAAGTTGATTTTATTATTCATAATTTGAAATTATTTTATTTGATTAATAATCATTAATTCATATAATTAAATATCATTATGTTTAGCATTACTAAAAATTAAATACTATTTTATTTAGAAGTATGAAAATAATCATTTTTATTGTAATAATTATATAAATTAATGATTTAAATGTTGTTTAAAGATAATAATTCATAAAACATAATAATATTTTAATTATTTTATAATAAATATAATTAAATTATTAAATATATATTTATTAAGTAAACCAATTTTATAATATAAATTATGTAAAAAAAATTGAATTAGAAAATAAAATTAATCTATTAAAATCATAATGAAAAAACAAAAACATTATATTTTATATAAAACATTAAAAAAAACACATTATTTTTAAATTTGTTATAATGAATATTAATTTAAAAATACAAAAATTTGTAATATAAAATAATTACAATATAGAAGAATCAAATTTTTAATTCACATATTAAATAAATAATATTGACTGTTATTAACTTTATATATAATTTTATTTTGGTGATAAAAGTTTTTCACTTTTTTAGATGAAATTAAATTATCTTTCAAGACAATAATCTGATCACTCTTGATAAATTTAAGATAATTATCATGTATAAATCATCATCGTTTTTTAAATAATTACCCTATACTAAACACTACATAGGAGAAAAGTCTCCCTATTTTGGTGATGGCTGAGGAATATTAAACCATACAAATGCCTTCAAATGTTATGTCATAATTATTAACTTTTCCAAAATGATCAACAAAAGATCATTGTTAGAAGTTTCTTTATCACAAAGAATGTATTAATTATGTGGATATGGTTTGTACTTCTTGTATGATTAATGGCATCAATTCATACATATATTTTGATAATGTGTTACATTTTACATGTTACATTGAATCATATAATGAGAGGTAATTCTTTACTATCCTATAAACCTCATTCCATTCATCTTCGTAGTCTTTAAAGCTCGAGGCTTTTAAATTAGAAACTTAAAGTTTAATCAATTGGACGTTTTCTTGGGACTATTTAAAATTTTTTATATATAAATGTGATAAAATAAATTTAAATATGAATGAAATTCATTTAAAAAGTTTAAATTTGATTAAATTTGATTCGATAAAAAAAAGTAAATTTTGAATCTCAAAAAGTTTGAATTTTAAAATAATTTGAACTAAAAAATCTTTAAAAATTCAAATTCAAAATCAACTTGAACTTAAAAATATATATTAAAATAATTATATATATCTCTCAAATCTAAATAATAACATTATTAGTTCGATTCTAATCTCGGTCCAAACCCTAAATGATTCAAACTTAAAGAGATACGAATACAAAATTACTTTAAACCAAAATAATCTGAACCTAATATAATCCTCTTTGAAAATATCCAAACTCAAACCTATCTATTTGCCACCTCTATTTATATCGTAAAATATATAAAATTTTGATTCTGTAAGGATCTCTTGTTTGCTCTAGTGCAAAGTGGGGAGAGTGAAAAGGACTGATTGGAGGACACCAACCATGAAATTGTAAGTTATATGAAGAACAACACACGAGAACATGATTTCCAATGCTTTTCTTTTCTTTTCTTTCTTGTCCAAGAAGACATGCAAACAAAATGAGAGTGGAAGTGTAGGACCAGACCGGTTCCAAAGGTTTCAATCTATCTTGGATCTTGATATCGATAATAGTTGGGGCAACCAAGAAAAGGGCAAAACTTTGTGCAACAGGCAGCGTGTAAAATGTGACCTCCCAGTTCCAGTCTCGCGGCCTCAATCAGTCAGTCAGCCGTGAGCAGATAAGGTGGATTACCAAAAAGTTTCTTCACATGTCTCCGGGTCCTACCGCATCTAGGGCTACTATTCTATTTTTATCTATACATTATTCACTTCCTCATTATTTCCCAATCCTTTAACCTCAATCTTAGGTTTATTATAAAGTCCATATTACCTGTTTAGAAAGACAGTTTTAACCACAATATATATTTGATTTTTTTTTAAAAGGAGCTTAACTCTTAAATCATGAAAGTTGACATATGTACATTCATCACTGAATTATAACTCTTAATGTTCCAACTTTCGCATATATATTATGTAAGGTTAATTAGCAGCAACTTTTATTAGCCAACACTGGGCAATGACAGCCACATGGCCTGCTGTTAATTATTGTACTAGTTGATGAATCCCGATTTGATTCTACGACAAAGAATTAAGTTTGGTTTTCAAATTGTTTTTTTTTTTTTCGTTAAATCAAGGGGACATGTATAATAAATACTCCTAACTTTTTCCCCAAAAGAAATGGATAAATCCTACATGCGAAAGCATAAAATCAATATTATGCGATTGTTTTGCACCTAAACATTGGTTATATATTACAATAATTATGTATATATATTGTATTTCCTTACTCAAAAAATTATTAGATTGATCAATTAGTCGCACGTTTTTCTTTTTGGTCTAAAGTCTCCCTTTTAAAAATTATACTTGATAAAAAAAAAGGCATGTTTTTACTCTAGCAAATATGTTTTATTAGCTTGCAACATGTAACGGGCCAATTAGCCATAATAACAGGCATATATATTAGTAGTAAATTGAATAAATTGCACTTCTTTATGTCATTTAAACTTGGATTTTCTTTTACAAAAGAGTTCATTCATCATGTATTCAAAAAGTTATCCACTGACCACAAAAAAAAAAAAAAAAAACTTCTTTCAATCAAAACCTTGCATGCAAGCAATGGATTTAGTTCTATATACTTTTATGGTGACAGGCAAAAAGTTAAAATGGATAAGCAAAGAAAAGATAAGAAAAAATGTACGAAGTCAGAATGTGATAGGCTAAGATGATCCTTCATAGTTCATTGTGACCCCCTTTTAACTTTCATGTTGAACGGTTTCAATCAAGTCATTTGATGGACACAAATATTTTTATCAACCATTCAAAAACCCCCAACACCCGCCAATTATGCCATGTGTCCAACTATGATGCCTCAAATTATAGCAAACCAGCCATTTTCTTTCCCATATTGCCATTTCATTGTCATCCCTCAACAATTTGCATTTAGTTCGAAAAGATATGTCCTTCTTTTTTTTTCCTATTATGTTTTTATGAGTTACCCTTATTAAAAGGGTTTTGGCTGGTTATCTGTGAGACTGAGACGCCAAGAAAACAAGAAAGCATTGCTTGAAGAGACTCACGGTCGGGAAAGTCCTGCAACTTTCAACGTGCTTAAGAAATTTGCTTCTGTTCTTTCTGCTGATTTTGCTTTTGTTGTTATTGTTTCTTATTTTTTTGTTGCCAACCCATTTCCACTTGCCAGACTGTAAATACCAAACAGAAAGAGATCAAGAAATCAGTGTAAGGTGAGTGGATATATTTTGATAGAAGAAAACAACAATCTTCTTCCTGTAGCTTTTTTTAAGTAGAAAAAGAGGGTTTCATGATTGAGTTATAGGGATAAGAGCTGAAATAGCAAGAGCCGTGTGAAATTCAGGTCCAGAGGGATGGGAACCCAAACCTTTTCCAAGATCATTCCTTTTTTTCTAAGCCTTTTTAATTGAAATTAAAAAGTAGTTTCTCTTCCATTATCTTCTCGTCTCCTTCTACCTGTACTCTCTCATCTCTCAGCCTCTTCTTTTTTCTATTATTCTTTTACCTGTAGACTGTTAAGTCCACCAAGTTTTGGGTGTTTGTTCAACTTGAGAAACTTCAGCTCTTACCTTTGCAGAGTTTCTTTCAGCAAGCAAACCAGGATCTGGTTCTGAAGATTCAGCTTAATTCACTTGAGGTAGCTTCTTTGTAATTTGTTTGCTTCTATTACAAATCCAAACTCTTTTTACACTTCTTTTAAAGATTTTGGGCATCATTTTTGGGTTTTTTTATTAGTAAGTTGCATGATTGACAGAAAATTTTCTCTGCTCATAAATTTGTTATGAAATTAGTCTTGTTTTTGGTAATTTAACTTGTTGCGGTTTTCTTTCACTCTCATGGGCCACAAAGAGCTTTTCTTTTTTTGACAGCTTTAATCAGGGAACCATCTAGTTGCTAATGTCTTCAAGCTCCGCAAGTTACTGATTTTCAGTGCTTGGCTTAATTTTCCGCACTCTACATCTCCACTTAACCTATTCTCCCATGACCAAACTACCAAAAAAAATGAGGTTCTAAATCACTTTTGCAGTCACCAAAACTCAAACCTAACATGAGTTATTTAGATCAATAAAGCAACCTGAAATGACTTGTAAGCCCCTAATATTCCTTGCAAGCTGACTTTTTTTAATGTTCTTTTATCACCTCATAATAATTCAGTTCCAAAACATCTTTCCCCAACCTCTTAGTCCAGTTCATTTCAATGTCCCACCACTGATGTTGAAAGTGTAACATTGTCATATCTGCATAAATTTCAACTATGTTAAAAGAATTGTATTCCTTTTTTTCTTTTGCTTTCCCACAGGACAAATATTTGCATGGCTATGATTTGTGATGGGTTTTCTTCTTTTTCAGTTTTCACCCTTTAATTTGATGCATGACTAGGCAATAAACTATATCTAGACTTAGATTTTTTTTCACTATTGTTTGTAATTATGCAGATATGGACCTAACAGAAAAATCATCTAAGCAATCAAACTTGATCCCACCACTGCCAAGGGACTCTAGGGGCTCACTTGAAGTGTTCAATCCATCCACTTTCTCAACTCGGCCCATTAACCCGGCATTTCGCTCGCAACCCATTTGGCAAAACTTAATAGATGCACGTGGCAGCTCAGAAGAAGCTGACCCTTCCAAGCTAGCCTCCAAGTCGGGTCGAGTTGAAGAAATAACATCATGGATGGCACTCAAGGAACCACCTGCTCCATCCCCATCTCCAGCACCATCTTCATTAGCATCATCACCACTTGTTCATAAGATCACTAGCGATAATAATGATCAAAACGGCGGCGGAAACGCAAGTCCGAAGCCTTCGGATGACGCTGGAATGGCTGCAAAGAGAGCTGCAGAATGGGGGTTAGTGCTAAAAACAGATAATGAAACTGGCAAACCACAAGGAGTTGTTGTTAGGAATTCGGGTGGGGATGACCCGAATTCCAAACCGGGTACTTCTCGTAGAAACTCAAATAATTCAGTTCGGAGCTCCGAAGAATTATCAGATAACGAATTTAGCAAGGAGAAAGGGTTCCCTAGAGTATCCGAAGACTTAAAGGATGCATTGTCAACATTTCAACAAACATTTGTTGTTTCGGATGCTACCAAACCCGATTACCCGATTTTGTATGCAAGTGCCGGGTTTTTTAAGATGACCGGCTACACTTCTAAAGAGGTCATAGGCAGGAATTGGTAAAATCAAATCTTTCTTTTACTTTTGTTTAATACTATCATTTTATTACCTGTAATAACGGTCATGGAAGGGTAATATTGACATTTTGGTGTTGGTTGGGTGGGGGATCCAGTCGGTTTTTACAGGGTGCGGGTACAGACCCGAGCGATGTGGCGAAGATTAGGGAGGCATTGCAGGCAGGGAAAAATTATTGTGGGAGATTGTTGAATTACAAGAAAGATGGGACTCCTTTTTGGAATCTTCTTACTATTGCACCCATTAAGGACGAAAATGGGAAAGTCCTAAAGTTTATTGGGTTAGTTTTCCATTTATCCTTTAATCATTGGTTTTTAATTCTCACATATAATCTTTTTTTCACCTATTATTTTTCCAAATAAATCAACACATCCCTTAATTCTCTCATCATATAACTATTGGAATTATTATTTTATACACCGATTATGAAAATTTTTAATTATTACATTCATTCTTTATTTTCTAAAATGTATTTTAAATAACTCTGTATTAATATTTTAATCCGATTTCAACAATATTTTGAGGAAAACATAGGAGAGTAGCTGCAAGGGCATTTGTCCTAAAACATGGCACATGAAAATTCACGAGAACAAAGTGACAAGCAAGAAGAAATGGAAACACCCATTGTCTTTGTCCCCAGTGTCACATCAGATAATTGCAAAAATAATTTTGGTGACAACTGGGGGTGCTGGCTCACATGTAATCCTTGTCAGATCACCCACAAGATTCAATTTCTTGATGGTGATGGGAATGTGGGCCTGTTGTTTCCAACCGTCGGATTGTCGATGGACTGTGATGGGATTGAAGGAGGGAATGAATGTAGGATTAGATTATCAAGAAATTGTCCACAGTGGAATTTGTTTTGATATCTGTTTCTGTTTTGGGTTTGAATGATTCGGCTTGTCAGAATGCAAGTGGAGGTGAGCAAGCATACAGAAGGGGCCAAGGAAAAGATGATGAGGCCCAATGGATTGCCCGAGTCTTTGATTCGATACGATGGTATATGTTCTAACATATCCCCTTTTTTTTGTCTCTTACTTGGGCTACCAAGTACCCACTGCTCGTATTCCTGTATGAATTATTAGGGACAGTCAGCAACAACTAGGAATACAGTGCATGCGTGGGAAGATACTATACATATTCAAAACATTTATTTTTCATTAATACTTTGGAGATTTCAAATATTCATTAAGCAAAATCAATATTTTGAAATTTCATTCTATAAGTCTGAGCTCTCCAAAGTAATTATTAGAGTTGAAAGTTTTGAGTGCTTGTCATTTTCTTACACTCGTTTTATTTATGTCAGGTTAAAGAAATGGAAAGATGAAAAATAGGGAAAGTTGAAACTTTCTCAAATGTAGAGAATTAAGCACCAAAACATATCTTGAAATGCCAATATTTTTTCAGTCATGAATCTTTTTTTGTTCAGTTTGCACAACTTTCATATTATATTTGTGACAGTATGGCTTGATAGATTTGTAATGACTAAGGTTTTTTGATGATGTCCTGTGCTTAATCTTATCCCCCACAACTAAGGCATTAATATGATCCTTTGTCATTGAGGATGTCAAATTTTTTTAATAATTCATAACCAAGCAAACAACAGAAATTCATATTGGAGGAAGCCGTTAATGTCAATTTTCAATGAACTATGACCTTTTGAGAGCTCTAAGGTGATTTAAAGCCAGTGTGGATGTCATAAATTACATTATTCTTGTTGTAATGACTTTTCACTTACATAGATATCTATTCAAATGCCTCTAATAATATCTGTTCTTGCAGCTCGCCAGAAGGACATGGCTGTCGGTTCAGTAACAGAACTTGTGGAAGCAGTTAAGAAACCCCGTTCACTTAGTGAATCAACATATCATCCTTTCATTAGAAAATCAGGTGGTGGTGGTGGTGACGGAGAAGAAGGACTAGGAGTTATGGCTAGGCGAAACTCAGAAAATTTACCTCCGCATAGAAGGAATTCAAATGGGAGTATTAGAATCTCAATGGAGCGTATAAGTGAGGTGCCAGAAAAGAAACTGAAAACATCTAGTCTTCCTTCTTTCATGGGGTATGATTAACATCTTTGTTACAATAACTTGTAGTAAACTTCATGTTTTTCATCATTGACTGGGTATTTTATTAAAGCATCCATTTTACATGGGTTCTCTTTCCATGCTTCAGGCTTACGAGGAAAAGTCAGTCCACTGCTGACAGCTTTGACAATAGTCTCCTGGTGGATGCGGATGAGGATGAGAGTGACGATGATGAGAGGCCAGACAGTTTTGATGACAAAGTTAGACAAAAGGAAATGAGAAAGGGTATTGATCTTGCAACCACACTTGAACGTATAGAGAAAAACTTTGTCATTACTGATCCAAGGCTGCCTGATAATCCCATTGTAAGACTTCAAATTCTAGCTAAATTGTTTTAAAGTTAAACAATGCAAATTAGAAAGAAACTAATGTTTTCAGTTGTCTTAATGTTCAGATCTTTGCATCTGATAGCTTCTTGGAGCTGACAGAGTACAGTCGTGAAGAAATATTGGGCAGAAATTGCAGGTGTGCCTCAAATTCCCTGTACTTACAGATCATGACATCAATTTCAAGTATTTTGACCTGTTCATTCCACCCTTAAGGCTTAAACATCAGTTTGAAGTTGAAACTTAAACTTTCCATGATGCTTGAACTAAAACATATGAAGGAACTTTTGACACTATTTTTATCTAAAGAGAGTAACGGGATTGCAGGTTTATGAAAAAAACCTTAACCCTGTTGTCTAAAGTGAAACTAAACAATATATTGAGTGTTGTGAAAAAAAAAAAATGAAAATCACTTCATTAACCTGTGTGATTTCAGGTTTCTCCAAGGCCCTGAAACTGATCCAGCTACTGTGAGGAAGATTCGGGAGGCAATAGATAACCAAACGGAAGTAACAGTGCAGCTAATCAACTACACAAAGAGTGGTATGTTTAGTATTTTGCAAGTTTAGATGTCATATGACACCCTGAAAATGTTTATAGAAGGTAGCTAATCTTCAATTTCCAGATTCATGTCATGCATGTAATATTCTTGTTTTTCGGTTGTCCAAAGTTAAGTCTATACATTATTACTTATAGAGTAAATATGAAAAGTCTTTATCCTTCAAGTTCTGTTATTATTTTTTATGTTATGGATTATTTCTTCATATAATTCAAAGGTTGTTGTACACATGTCAGGCAAGAAGTTCTGGAACCTGTTCCATCTGCAGCCTATGCGTGACCAGAAGGTAAAAGCCTCAAATATTCAGAGTGGAATGTAAATGCTGCAATCTTGCTATCTAACTCCTTGATTAAGCAGATAATCAAATTTCAGCTACACATGACTTTCTGGACTGAGGAACAAAATTCTCTCTGGTTTCTTGTTTTTATTTTTGGCCTCTATGAACAGGGGGAAGTTCAGTATTTTATAGGAGTGCAGCTAGATGGCAGTGCCAAAGTTGATCCACTTCGTAATACTATTCCAGATGCTGCTGCACAAGAGAGTGAACAACTGGTCTCAACTCTTTTCTCTGCTTCTCATTTTTTCTTTCTTCTTTTTCCTGCTTTTTAAATCCTTATGTTCTTAACCAAATTCCATAACTTTTAAAGTGGTGATGGATGCTACACTTACTTGTTTATCACCAAAATATGTGTTTCTCTACAACGAGAAAAGTGGAGTAGGGCATTACTTTTCTTTTGGCAGTCAATAGCTGCATTTTGTTGTGTATTCTATCTAATATTTATAAATTTGCTGGCTTGTTCTTACAAATAAGCATCATTCTTGCTCGCAGGTGAAACAAACTGCAGAAAATGTTGATGAAGCAGTGAGGGAACTTCCAGACGCCAATATGGTAATGTTTGAATGTTGATCCTTTCTCAAGAAAACCTCTTTGTCTTAAAAAACTCTTACAACAAATTTCATTACCTGCAGAATCCAGAAGACCTATGGATGAATCACTCCAAGGTCGTTCACCCTAAACCTCACAGGAAAGATAGTCCCTCCTGGAAAGCTATTCAAAAGGTATTATTCTTTCATATATAAGAATCTGAGTCATAATCTAAAGGGGACCAACATATCATTTAAAATGATTCAGATGCTGTGCTAATGATGACAAAGCATGGTTCTGAAAAAAAAAAATTATAAGAATTAGAAAGAACAGATATTTCAGTGTCATCTCCATTTTATCTTGTATACTTGTATCTGTCATTTTACACCAGATTGTTCCATTCTGATCCCTTCCATGCAGAGTATATATGTGATCCTTACATATCATTGCTCTTCTAATTTGTAGGTTCTTAACAGTGGAGAAAGGATAGGCCTAAAACATTTTAGGCCAGTAAAACCATTAGGATCAGGTGACACTGGCAGGTTTGTCTGATTACTCTGCTCCTATTTACACTCAATTTTGAAGGATAATTAATGTCTATTCCGTCATACAAATTTTTATACGAGCTATTGTTTTTTTGGCAGTGTGCATTTGGTGGAACTATGTGGGACTGGCCTGTACTTTGCAATGAAAGCTATGGATAAAGGTGTTATGCTCAACCGGAACAAGGTATATGAAATTGCATTGATTATTAGTACTAAGCTTCAAACCAAAAAAAAAAAAACCTGGATGGTTCTTTGTATGTTATCTAATAATAAGCCCGGTAGTGCATAACCAGGAGAGGAGTTTCCCTTTAGTTTTAATCCTCAATTCTTCAGTTTTGCTTACATGATACCTTGCTTTCTTTGCTATAGGTGCATAGAGCTTGTGCAGAAAGAGAAATTCTTGACATGTTGGACCACCCTTTTCTTCCAGCATTGTATGCATCATTTCAGGTTAGAAAACTGATATGAGTTGCAGGTTTGTTTTAGCAAGATTAGCTAGATAATAGTTTGAAATATAGTTTTTTTTTTTGTTTGTGACTATAAAACTAGGATCTTTTCGATTTCTTTGCCACATGAATGTAAAGCTTTGATGCTTTAATACTCAATCAGAAGAAACCTAGGTGCCATATTTTTGTACTTTTAATACATCTGTTTCTTGAGCGTTCGCTTTTATATAGCTGGTCTCATTTCATCTTAACTTGAGATCATTGCAGATTGGATCCTCATTCTGTGACTTGCTTTCTTTATATGAAGACATAAAAAGTTCTAACTTTCAGATACTTTGCAGACCAAAACACATATTTGTCTGATTACGGATTACTGTCCTGGTGGAGAACTTTTCATGCTTTTGGACAAACAACCAATGAAGGTCATGAAGGAAGATGCAGTGAGGTAATTATCCCATTACCATAATTGATACGAGTTATGAACACTAGGATCTAATAGTATCATCTGAAAATGTGCCTATTTCCAAAGCAATTCGGCTATTTCCAGTTTATTGACAAATCTGAGTTGAAATTAACTAGAAAGTTTTTATTGATGTAGATTTTATGCTGCTGAGGTTGTTGTTGCATTGGAGTACCTTCACTGCCAAGGTTGGTTAAAGTCAATTATTATTTTGCTTTTATCTCAATAACATCTTGTTTGTATTATTAACCAAGTGATCAATCAGTTACCGAGTGATTCTCTTGCTCTTCTCACAGGTATTATATACAGAGATTTGAAGCCTGAAAATGTTCTACTCCAGGGCAATGGACACGTGGCCTTGACCGATTTCGATTTATCTTGTTTGACTTCCTGCAAACCACAGGTATCTAAGCTTATTATCTTCTGGCCATTGGTTAACTATGTTCTTTTTACTCTTCATCAGAGTGTTGAAGTTATGTTGGGGAAATCCTTATAAATTTTAGCGGTGTTTATAGCTGCTGATGCCAACCATAGATGAAAAGAAAAAACACCGCAAAAGTCAGCAGAATCCAATTTTTATGGCAGAACCTATGCGTGCATCAAACTCTTTTGTGGGGACTGAAGAGTATATTGCCCCGGTTAGTTTATATTTTAAATGGCTACTTCTTTTCTTTTCTTTTTTTTTTCCCTTTTGTTACTAAAGAAATAGGTGCATTTCACATTAATATTTATCATTTTTATGTTTTTTTTTTTCTATTAAATGCCCATTCTTCTACTGTTTTTTGCAGGAAATTATCACTGGGGCTGGCCATACTAGTGCAGTGGACTGGTGGGCTCTAGGTAATTTTGCTTTGTTATAAAGCAATACCACTAATCCAAAAATGCATGTTTTTAGAAGGAAACAGCTCATGGCTTAGATTAGCATTAATTTCCATTGCAGAACCAGAAAGTAGTAAAAAAGAGCAAAAGATAAAATCAGAAACCATGCCGTAAGCTAATCAGTAACAAACCCATTTTATTTATTAGCCAATGATCAATGGGAATCTGAAATATGAAATATTTTAGTTTATAATTTAATGCAAAAGAATTTTTTTTTCAATTGATTTTGTTTGTCTATTTCAGGCATTCTTATCTATGAAATGCTTTATGGATATACACCATTCAGGGGAAAGACAAGGCAGAAGACTTTTGCCAATGTCCTGCAAAAAGATCTTAAATTCCCAAGAAGCATACAAGTAAAATCTTGTGTCTTTCAAAATTTTCTCTTTTGCATCCACAGCCTTAGACTTAAAAAGGGTGGCTATAACAATGCCATTTTAAGTGACATTCCAGGTTTTATTAGCAAAGTATTACTGTTAATGCAGGTAAGTCTCCAAGCAAAACAGCTGATGTACCGCTTACTACATAGGGATCCCAAAAGCAGATTAGGTTCGCGTGAAGGAGCCAGTGAAATCAAGCGACATCCTTTCTTCAAAGGTGTAAATTGGGCTCTTGTTCGCTGCAAGGTAAATTCCAAAATCCTTAAACTCCGTCAAGTATTTATGAATTTGTTGCATAACATAGTGCGTGCTTCAACCTCCACAGTTACCAGTGTTCTAGTAAAGCAGAGCTGCTGTTTTCCTTTTGTAAACTGATATGATATTTCTGTCTTTTGCACCATAATTCCCCATTTCCCTTTTCATATTGTTATATGATTTTTGATTGCTGACATTTGTTTAATGCCCAGAATCCACCTGAGCTTGAAGCCCCTCTCTTTGCTACTGAAGCTGTGAAGGAAGATAAAGCTGTGGAACCTGAACTGCTAGATTTACAAACAAATATTTTCTGAGACTGTGAGGTTGCATTCTATGTTATTTTTGAGATGTACATGCATCCTCCACGATGATATTCTCAAAATGGATTATGAACTACAATTTTTCTGCTACCGTGATTAAGCACATTGCATTAAGGAAACATCATTAGAGTCTCTGGTTAGCTCCAAATTTGGCTGGGGATTTAGTACTTATGGCAATAAAATCAAGAAGCAGCTGAGCCACGATGCAAGAGAAGCAGGTTTCTGATCGTTTGTTCTTTCTTTTTTTTTTTTTTTTATCAGTATGCTCGATGTAATTTTCTGTAATCTATGTTTGTTGGTAAATAAAATTTGTTTGCTTTGACTCTCTTTGTCGTGATCTTCTCTTCTGGATTCCTAAGCTACATATCTTTTCGTGAATCATACCTAATTTCTCAACTGTTTGGAGGCCCCTGCCCCATCTATTGCCATACATCACTTCATGTCCCTCATTTTAATGACAGTGATTTTTATTGTGAAAATGACAATCAAAGCACTAACTGATACAACAGGTAATATTGAGTTATTTCTCCTCCTGATGAAATAATCCAATATATTGTTACCAAATAGTATGTACTAGAATTAATGCCATGTGCCAGTATCAAACTTTTGCAGTTTCCATCTGTCAGATACCGGTCATCAACCTCCTGGCCACCACCTAGTTCACTGCACAAATTTCACCATTTTAATGCATATTTTGGGTGGAGACTCACCTTTGATTAGATGTCCCAAGTGAAACAATGACTGATCCGCATGCTCCCTCACCCACTTTTTTTCACTTTGCCAAAGGTTACAGTTTATAAATAAAGCTGGAAAGTAGAACAAAGAAAAACATTAGTATCTTATCAGCCTATATTGTTTCTTCTTGCATTGCAATATAAATGCATTTCGCAGCAAAAAAGACTGACTCCCATGGTAAAGGTGTATTGCATGTTCTGGGGAACAATGCCGCATGCATTACCTCCATGTGCAACCCATTCTCTGCACAAGAACCAGGAAGCGAAGGGCAATCATACATTTGATACAGTGACCTAATAAAGATGACATAAAGTTGAAGGTAGATCGAAAGAAAAGACAGTTGTTATGTTGGAAGTTGGAACAGCAACAACAGTTTTCATATTTAAGATCTCATTTATATAGCTTCAATCATCATTAGATAAAATTCAGTAACTGTGTAATTCTGAACTCCAAAAATGCATAATAATAAATTATATTTCAACATTTGATTTCGTGTTTGATGATTTCGAATTCTCTGTTCTCCATATTAAACATTTGTCCTTGAGTTATAAAACATCAAATGAAGGCAATCATGCTAATGGGATCATTCAAATTCCGTAAAAGAATACCATGGCATTTGACAGTTTCTGTCTTTAACTTTTTGTCGAGGTAGGACAGTAATGAACATGAAATGGAACAAATGATATTTTTCTTTTACTTTTCCAAATGGGTCCCACAATCAGTCACAGAAATCACGTGCTCACACGTGCAGGCAGTAATATCTCCCTCCAATTTTCTTAAAAATATAGAAACGGTTTTCTAGATTTAATGCAAAAAAACCCATAATTACCATCACCATTTTCCCTTGTCCCTCTTTTGCCGCTTTTACAGGGAGGGCATACTCTCTCTGAAATTACAGATCCAAAGCTTTCCACTTTCTTGGATTCTCTCACTCTCTACTTTTCCAAGAAAATTCAGCTTCGAATTTCCCAGGAAAATAGAACTTTACTTCTCTACTCTATATTTCTCTTCTTCTATGCAAGAAAATCCCCCCTTCATTCCCAGGATTGCCTTCTTGTCAAGAAATCAGTTGTATTTTCTTGATTCTAAGAAAATCCAGTTTTTTTTTTATTCTTAAAAAAAGGTTCTTTTTTTAATCAATGGTATCAAGCTAGTTCCTTTTTTTTCCTTGAATCCAAGCAAAGCCCAGAATTTGTTTGTTGATATTCTTTATTGAAAAAGCTTCCTTTTTTTTTTTTTTTTGCTTTTGTTTTTCAATGGCTTCAAGGGAAGTGTCAACAATGATAAAACAAGGCTTTATTTCAGACCCAACACTCTCTTTATCTTTCTCTCCATCAAGAACAACTTCAACAACAACAACACTCTCAAGACTCTATTCTCCTTCCTCTTCTCCTCCTCCTCCTCCAACTGAGTCAACTCGCCCGAGTCAAAACCCCACCCTCTTCGAAATGATGTCAGAGGAGCATCTCCGTGATTCAAAAACCATCGAAGAATCTCGCAAAAAGACTCAAACCCGAGTTGCTAAACTCCTCACCGAACTCAAAATCTGTAGCTGTAACAATTGGGGGCTGGGATCAGGTGATGTAAGGCTCACTGTAGTCTCTAGAGATGGCTATAGAGTTTCAATGGATGTGCACAGAAGAGTTTTGATTGAGAAAAGTAGGTTCTTCGAGGAGAAGTTGAGTCAAAGCAGAGAGAACGGGGTTTCTCATACAGTGGAAATCAGTGAATGTGATGACGTGGAGGTTTATGTGGAAACTGTGGTTTTGATGTACTATGATGATCTGAAGAAGAGGTTGATTGGTGAAAATGTTAACAAAGTCTTAGCTTTGCTTAAGGTATAATTTTTTTTAATTCTAATTAATTTTGCTCTCATTGTAAGTGTTTACTTCGTGTTTGTTTGACTTTTTTTTTTTAAATAAAGGAATCATATTTGAGAACCTCCATGAATGTTAACAGGAAGGATCTATAGTATAGATCAAATGTTTACTGTATTATTTGTTGATTGCTTTATTTATCCAAACGTTTATGAGTCTGTTTAGTTTGATTTTAGTTCATGTAAATTTCTTTGACATTTTGCCTGCTGCTTAAGGTTTTATGAATCTATGGTAGATGAGTTGTTTTCACCAAGGTCAAATGCAATGGTTTTTACTTACGTTTGACACTGGAAAACTTTTATCACTGACCGGTTTGAAACGGATGTCTGTTTTTTGGCCAAACATTTCCTTCCAATTGAAGCAAAAAAGAATTATATATAAAAAGAACTTTGTGATTTGTATATTTTCATTGTTTGTCATTTGCCTAACCGGACATGTTTTGATGTTAAATTTTGTTGTTTGTCTGTCTGGAATCGACTCAAATGTAGCTTGTACTTTTACCTTGTTTGCAGCAAACATCTTTTTTCCTCCTCTAGAAGCATGATGATTGACATCATATACTTAAAGATTGTTGTTTGTTTTTTCTTGGAGAGCCGGTAAAAGAAGGTTTAAAGTAAATTAAATTTGAGTCTACATTCTCCAATCCGTCCATTTTGCATGATAACTCAAAAGTTTCTGTCCTTATAACTTAATCCACATCCCAGAGAGGCTTTTTGATTAACCAAATATTGACTGCAAAAGATTCTTTGTTTTGGCTATATCTGCGTTGCCTGTATCACCATTTATGTGCAACTCAATCTTTTTCATTTTTGCTTTTCTTCTTATTTCTGTTGTAGTGAAGCATTTGTAATATTAGTGTTTGTTGTAGGTTTCTGCGGCAATAATGTTTGATGCAGGAATTAGTTCTTGCTTGGAGTATTTGGAAGCTGTCCCCTGGTCTGAGGATGAAGAGGAAAAAGTTCTATCTCATCTCAGCCAACTTGAGCTTCACGGTTCAATTGCTGAAGTTCTTCAGAGAGTATCATCTGGACCATCTACGTCTGCAAGAGCAGACGACATCTTCTTGAAACTACTTAGTGGTGTTCTTCAAGCCAAGGATGATAAAGCGCGTCGAGAAATGAAAACTCTTATTTCACGGTTACTTAGCGAAGATTCATTTGAAGATGACAATCGGTTAGATGTCTCTAAAGATACCCTTTATCATCTCTGTCACAGATGTCTTAGTTCTCTTGTTCTCTGCTTATCTGAAGCTACAGGAATGGACGGTAGTAGACGAGATCGAGGAGTTTTAATGGCTGAAATAGCTCGAGAAGCTGACAATTTGCAGTGGATTGTTGATATTCTGATTGACAAAAGAATGGCAAATGACTTTGTGAAATTGTGGGCAGATCAGAGGGAACTTGCAGAACTTCATTCAAAGATTCCCACTATGTACCGCCATGAAATCAGCAGAATTACTGCTCAACTATGTATTGCAATAGGGAGAGGAAACATCTTGGTGCCAAGAGACTGCCGGTTCTCTCTACTGTCGACATGGTTGGAAGCTCTTTATGAAGATTTTGGATGGATGAGAAGGGCATCTAGATCTGTAGACAAGAAACTAGTGGAGGATGGACTCAGCCAGGCAATTCTTACCCTATCTTTGGGGCAACAACAGGTTATTTTGCTCAATTGGTTTGATCGATTTCTCAATAAAGGGGATGACTGTCCCAATATCCAGAGAGCATTTGAAGTTTGGTGGAGAAGAGCTTTCATCAGACAGTACACTGGTGTGCAGGATAGTTCCCAGTTGCAAATAACCCTCTGCAACTATCCAACCTGAAAGGTCTACCATTAAAGAGTTAAAAGCAAAATGTGTATAATATAATAATAAATTGACATTCTTTTGCAATTTTGTCGGCGCATCTCCATTCCTTTGTTTTCCATCAGACTACATGGAAGTTTTTGTTCTTTTTGAAACTACCATCTTCCACTGCTGGTACCAGAGAACAGTGGTGTGGAAATTAAAACATTGACTCATAAAAATTGTGAAATGCCATATCTTTTTATATCACTTGAAGCCACCATTTGAATGTGAGTTTGAAGCATGTAATTTTAACGAAAAACATGCAGATAAGCGTAACAGGGCAGAAACGATTGGATTAAATTATAGGAAACAGACGTCAAATCCTGATGCAAGTTCAATCTTTTTTAGTTTGAGCATGTACAAAAAAGGGCTTGAATAAATTGAAAGCTTTGGCCCAAAAAGACAAAGCTGATAAAAATCGTTACCAAATATATAACAAAAGTTCATCAAAAACATTTCCAAAATTACCAAAAAATATATAAAAAAATTTCAAAAATAAAACAAAGATTATAAAAAATATTACAAGGGTTCTGAGAAATATTATAACGGTTTTCAAATTATCAAAATTAGTGAAATACTAAAAAATTATAAAAAAATTACTACACTGAGCTATACAAAATATAAAGATATCGTAGACTCTGTTTGTGTTGTGAGAAAATGTTTTTTATTTTATTTTTTAGAAAATAATTTTTATATTTATAAAAATATATTTGATAAATAAAAATAAAAATAATTTTTTGAAATGTAAAAATAAAGAAATAAATAAAATATTCAATAATACTATTAATGATATTTAATTATAAATATAATATATTTATTAATTAATAATATTAAAAAGTATTCAAATACAATAACTTACAAAACGTAAAAAAAATTATACATCATTTGTTTTCTCAATTAAAAATATATATTTTTTATTTTTATTTTTTAAAAGTTTAATTTTATTTTCACTTATGTTTTTTATTTTTTAAAAAAATAAAAATAAAAATAATTATATATTCTAAAACGAAACATTATTTTAATTTCTCATTTTTCTAAGAGAAATTAAAATTAAATATTTTATTATACTTGTTTTTTTACTTTTAAACAAATTCACTCATCTGCGTTCTTTCTCAAATGGATGATTAATTTTTTATTTTTTTCTTTTTAACTCTTATATTAATAATAATAATTTATTATTTTAATGTTTCACCTATTCATTAAACAAGTCACAACAATGAGAGAGTAACATTTCTCCTTTAAATGGAGATCCTAATTCATTACTATGAATTCTTTTTACTTTACTAAATGCAAAGAATTATTTTACCTTTTTTTTTCCCCCAAACATAATTATTTTACTTTACTAAATGCAAGTAATTCTTTTCAAAAATAGGAGCATATATATATATATATATATATATATATTTGATTCGCCCGCGAACCCCCAAAACCCTAGAGCATAAAATCGATTCAACGTTAAACCCTAGGGATATCAATTCTCCGAATATTCCTAACCCTAATGAAGACGGTGACGGGTAAAATCCTGTCTTCAACTGCAATTTCCGTCTCCAGCGCAGCCAAAATCATCTCCAACTTTGCGGCTACAGATAACGGCGCGTCGCAAGCGGTCAGCGCATACCTTCGACGCTCCTCCGCCTCATTCAGCGAGCTCAAACAGTTGCATAGAGAGCTCCGAAAGCCGTCGAAATCGGATCGCAAGCACAAGAAGTCCAAGTCCGAGACCACTGTAGAAGGTGCCGGTGAATCGAGTCTGGAACCGAGTGTAGTCAACTGGACTCGTGGAGCTGCGGAGCTGAGTCAAGAGGCGAGTCACGGGTATGGGCATAGAGAGAGAAAGAAGCTTAAGAACAAAAACAAGAAAGAGAAGGGTGAGGTGATTAATTTTGGGGATGAGGGCAAAATAGTGACTGAAGATGGAGAGAGCAAGAGGAAGAAGGAGAAGAATGAGGGCAACTTTGGGAAAGATGAGGGCAAAATGTTAATTGAGCAGAGTGAGAGAAAGAAGCATAAGAATAAGGAGAAAGGTGGAGAAAAGATTGAAAAATTACAGGAAAATGGGGTGAATATTGAGAAGGGTGAAATGAGAAATCAAGAAGAAAGGGAAGGGGAGAAGAATAAGAAGAAGAAAAGGAAGAGTAGAGAGATTGAGGATGGAATTGAAAATAACTCTTCTTCAGAGCTACGGAAGAAGAAGAAGAAGAAGATTGAAAATGAAGTTGATAAGTGATTGATTTGGGGTATTTTAGCAATTCTGCTTGTTGTTTTGGATGGCAGATTGAAGGAGGCACTCCTTAGCTCCACAGTTAAAATGCCTAATCATTTTTGGGTACTCTTTCCATTGTAATGTTGAGGAAATATGTTTGTTTCTAATTTATAATGAATGAAATCTATTGATGGTTAATCTTGGCATTTCCGGTTCTAGGTTTTTTGGCCTTTGGTTGTAGTTGTCTTTCGAATTTCTATCAGGTGAAAGATGCATTTGGCATATGCACGATTATTAACAAAGTAGGAACCGGCTTTGATGCATGCTTTATAGAAGGTATATTATGCACTCATGGTCTTAGTTGAAAATACAATTGATAAAGATGCTGTTTTAGGATGATCAGTTTCAATGCTTGCAAATTGCAATTAGGAAATGGCTTTTTTATGGTTTTTGGGCATGTTAATGGAGTTCCAAATCCTCGTAGCTGTGGTAGTCTAGAAGTTCAGAATAAAAATCTATTTCACCAAGTATACTGCTGCTTGAGTTATGGTACTGGTTTGATGATTCACTCTGCAATTTCAAACTCACATTATGCATAACACAGGTGAATGACATGAAATCTCTTTTAGCTTTTCCTTTTATCTTCTGATCTAGCTGGTTTGACTAATATTCTAGACTTTCTTTCTACTCTTGCTTATTTCATTTTGAGGTGTAACCAATGTAGTAGATGGCCATACTTTTGGCAGCCTTATATATTTCATTTCAAGGTCTGGTAGCATATCCTGAAAATTGGACACTAATTGATTACTATGGCAACAATCTCAAATATATTAGAAATTGGGATAATGAATTATTAGGAATAGTGGTTAGTAGTTTCTCCATGTCATTTGGTATAGATTCTTAGGTATATTGAGTGATTTGCAAAGGCTTCAAGGAGTTTAGGCGAAGGAAAATACTGAAAATCATTTGTTTCAGAACAGAAACAAATCGTTTGTTTTGGATATATAAAACTTTTTTACTTATCCAAAAAAAAAAAAAAGAAAAATCATTTTTTTTCTGCGATGTGTTTCTTCTCCTAAACCATTTTGAGAACCCAAGCTGCTTAAAACTTGCCTTAGATCGAATTTTGTATTTGTTGGGTGTGGCAAAAACAAAACATGTATGTTGCCTTGAATTTGGAGTCACTAATATATGTTTATGGTTGTTTTAAGTTATCTGCAATCCTTGGGGCTTCAAACTGTGACAAAACTTATGCCGCTGTTGGATATCCCTTCTTCTGGCTTGATAAGATCTGCCTATCTGATGACTTGCAGATTCTTGTGAAAAAGTACATTTGCTAAAGCTGAAATAGCAGCGGCATGCAAAAGCTTATAACAAGCATATTTTGCAAGTGAATTTCAATCACTCTTAGCTGGAAAAGCAAGCAACACCACAACAACAAACTCTGTTTACTTGACAAATGCTTGAAGAATAACGCACCAAAAGTAATTTATAGGTCAGGGACTGCTGAAAGCCACGGTGATTGTTTAAATGTTGGTACCTGAAGTATGTAGTGTCTGTTACATCACAGTCATACTGCTGTTCTTGATGATAAATGTTGGTATTCTTCGGAGCTGTAATGGTGCTCTCTTGTCTAGTTGTGCGGTATCAAGAAATATTTTATGGGGAATATTTTATGTCAACTTTTGGTTCTTGAGACTTAGATTGGCTTGTATACCACTTCCATACTGATTGATTTATCTAGGAAGCAAATAATTGCTCAGTTTAATTTAGAAGAAGTCCAGTGGTTCGATATATTGCTTTGGGTTCTGTTGGCTCTCTCAAAAAGCTTTCTCAGGGATGTTGGTGGTGAGAAGGTGGACTTTCATTTTGATTATGTAGCCTTTGTTTTCATTAACTTTTAATGCCAGATCATTTGAAGCTTTTAGAAATTTCCCTTACCACCTCACTAGTCATAGAGATATCATCTGATATACATATAACTAATTTCGAATACATTGTTTTATTCATGTCCAACTCTAAACAGGGCAACAAAACTATGTGTGAGATCATTTTCATTTGGCCAACAAGGTTTGTGAGCTCTTCTCATAGTGGAAACCATCTTTCTTGGAGTCATCCGCTGACCAAACAAATATGCCATGAAGTTTGCCGTCAGACTTCAGCCTGCGACAAGCCTCAAAGAATCCATTTTCAGGAGACAAACCTCCGCTTCCATCAGTACCGAAGCTTACTAGGACCTTACCACCTCTGTAGTTAGAGTTCTGTTCATCAAAGTATTGCAGAAATTGAGAAATAGTTGTACTATTATCATAGGCATAAAACTGAAAGTTGACATAGTCTATGAGATGCCCATACTTCCTCCACAAGGCCAAGTAATGCGGTTGCACGGAGTCATCATTATAAGGTGCTATTGATGCAAACGACGCCACCCCGTTTTGTTTTAGGAACAAAAGAAGCTGTCCAATGCACTCAGCAAATGTGTCAGGATCTGCATGGAAGTGTTCATAGTCGATATCTATCCCATCCAAATGATACTGTTTTGATATCTCTGTTAGGGAATGAAAGGCATTTCTAACCCAGGAATTGATTGTTTTAGGACTGAAGAATACATGCTTATCATTTATTGTATCGCCCCCAAGACTCATAGCTACCTTGACATTCGGATGACGGGTTTTGATAGAGGAAACATGAGAAGCGCTGAGGTTTTCTCTATCCCAGTAAACCCTGAAATCACCATTGGTGGAGGAAGGATGGGAAGAAGAGTTTGTGTAGTCAATAGCGAAGGAGAGGATAAAGTGAAAATCTACTTCTTGATTGATGGGTACATCTGAAAAGGTAACACCTTTTCCCTCTGCTCCTATATATTCTCGAAAGAGTTTTGAGTTAGCTGCTACTCCAGGATTTGAGGAAAATAGAGCGATGAAAATTTGAAGAACAAGAGGAACAGCAAGCATAGATGAATTCATGGCTGTAGCAGTTTTTAAGTTTCAGTAGGAGGTTTCAAGAGAGGAATTTATAAGGGACGATCATAGAGTCCTAATTATTATCTACAAAGAAGATATTTGTTCTTGTGTAGTTGTCTGGTTTCATTAGAAAGCATAATAGCCGGTACATTTTTTTATGCATATTTACCAATTGCATATTATTGAAAAACAATTCTATATTAAATCCAAAAGTTTTAAATTTACAAAACTATAGAATATATTATCTTGTTACTCTATACAAAAGTTAATACAATAATAATGAGATATAATTTCAAGCCTACGGTGAATTTTATAAGTTTCATTTTATTCTTTGTTATTATTCATTTTTTTCTTCTAAAATAAGAAGACAAATAATGTTTTTAGATACAATAGTAAATAATTATTTTATGAAATTATATGTGTTAGAAAAATTACCATTATAATTAAATAATTTTAATATAAATCAAGAAAAGAAATTAATAAGCAAAAAAAAAGAAAAATCAAACCAGTAATATGTAATTTTGGACAAAACAATATTTATTGAAGGTTTCCAGACAAGATTTCATTTGCAAGTAAAGTTAATAATTTTAAATAAATAAAAATAAAAAATTATTTTATGTGAAAATATATTTAAAAATATATCACATTTCACATTATTATCCAATATTGTTATTAATGATCAAATTGTATAAAATAAAAAATTTATAACCATATATATAAAATAAAATATAAATATAAAACCCTTTAAGATATTTATTTTTATTAATTTTAATGATACTAATGTAAGTAAATTACATAAAAATTTATTAAAATATCTATACTAAATTAAGTTTTTGGAGAATCAATTGAGTCAATTGATCTCACTACTTTGCATGTGGCTACGCCATTGGGCAGAGATTGAGATTAGTTGACATTCAGATTCAGATTTAATCTCTATTTCATGTGAAACAAGTCGAGTATTCTGGTTTTGGCTTTACTTCACATTGATACATTTTTTTAGTATTTCTTTAATGAATGGACACTAAGAGGGTTTGGTGACACTTGACAGTCTTCTAATGAACAATGTAAAGACGAGGTAGGAACTGGGGAGCAATGCATTGCCCCCAAGGACGGCAACGGAGCAACTACCAAGACCCAAGGAACAAGACCGCTTTGAACATGCCGTTTTTTTGGGGGTGAAAAATATTTATAATACGACATAGTCAAAGAACCCATGTCAATCAATGCTGGTTAAGAAAACATTGTAGTTGCTGAACTTTGAATAAAACAAGAAGATTCACATTCCTGGACAAAGATCCAATTCCGAACTCTAAACTCCAAAACTTTCAAACTGAACCAACCAAAGCTGTTGTTTCTTTTGTCTACGGTTGCGTGATTTGTTCGTAAAATGTTTTAATTTTAATGATTAAAATTTAAAATTTAAATTTTAAATGAAAAAAAATAACAATGCTGTCGTTACTTTCAAGTAGTGGAAGGGGAAACTAATCTAGAAACAAAATTTATTAGAAAATCAAATCTATGGGTTATAACTTGCAAGCCATTATAAAAACTAATCAACTTGATAATTTAAAAAAGTCAACTGCAGAAAATTCATTATCTGATATATTATTGAACCTCATTCATTGACATATTGAATCTGAATGTTACAAAAATTTTCCCACACCATTGTTTCTCTCCCCAGTGAATCAACTTCAAGAATTATTCAGAATTGTCCGGCCAATGACAAAAGGGCCCAAAAGAAATAAAAAATAGGTTTAAAAGGGAAAAAAAAAATAGCAAGGCAAGTTCTGTCTGAGGCATTCCTTAACACTTGGGAAGATCTGCTGGGGGTGGAAGCAACTTCTGATTGGGTAGATTTCCATCCAAGACCATCCAAGCCATCTTCAAGCCCCAGCTTGTATAGACTTCCAGGTGGCAATGCATGAAGCATACCCCTGTTGACACGTGTCTCTAATCAGCTCAAAACATAAGCAAAAATAGAGTACTACTAAAAAAATACAACTATGCTGTTATTTCTACCCACCTTGACTGTCTGCTAGAAAACGAATTGCTACCCAACCTCCTGATGGCACACCAACAGTGTTCCTTTCAACAGGGTCAATAAGATTAAAGTTTTTAGGGTCCTTTTTTGGATCAAAATTTTCAAAACCTTGGCCAACAACAAAGAAATTGAAGCCATGCAAGTGAAGAGGGTGGCTTTCAGCTCCAAGTATGCTTGTGTCTTGCATGACTAGCACTACGCTAGCGTTAAAAAGGAAGCCCTACTAGCTTAGTTCCATTGCTCACCATAGTGTTATTAGGTGGAATGCCTGCATAATTAAATGGAAGTATTGGATCACTTGGAAAATCATTGACCATTTGATTGACCAAAGAAATGAGCCTGGACTAGTGCTGTTGTAGGCATTGAAAAAGAAACATTATTGACTGAAGCTGCAAACATGGTTCCATTAGGTCCCTGGCAGGTTTGGTTCTGCTGACATGGGCTTGTTCGTAGGCCGATTGTGAAGAAAAGCTGCTTATCAACCTTTTGGGGCACATTGGCAGGGAGTTGTTTATTAGCCAAGCTACGGAGTTTAGTTGCAAAATTTGTTGCAAAGGAAGCGTCATTTAGAGCAGGTAAAATTGGTTTAAACAGAGAAAGTTTCTTCATTGAGATCTTGAATGTAAGCTTTTGGGTGGTAATTCATATTCTAAAATGCCAGCAACAGTTGAATTATCAAAGGTGCCTTGCCCTGTCACATGTGGTCTAGCAGTCAGGAAAAATGTGGCATTTGGATATCTTGGTTTGGTCTTAAGATGCACATTTGTGTCTGGCCAGGTGCAATAAGAATTGTTTCAGTCTCAAAGGGTTTAACATAAACAGCATCAGCTTCAACCACTGTAAGAGTATGGTTTTCTATGCTGAAGAAGAGCTCATCGTTGAGAGCTGCATTGATTAGAAGGAGGTATGTCTTGCCTGGCTTCACCTTAAGCTTGAATATATCTATCAAGAATTATTAGTTCCCAGTTCAGCTAAATAGCTCTGTCAGTTTATAATATTTACAATCTTTTTCATACCTTTGCCAGAGCAGTTGTAGAGTGGTCCTTTGAGTCCATTGATGGTGTAACTGTATAAGTATCAGAGACATTCGGTCCTCCACCTGTCTGAAGAGCCTGTCTAATAACCGCTTCAGGATCAGCATTGAACCATTCTCCTGCAGTTTAATCATCATCCATGGTGATTTATGTCAACAAAAGTAAGGTCACTTAAAGAAGCAAATAGATGTAGCTTTAAATCAGCTCATTCAGAGTTTATTAACAAAAATTATGGGAACTTCCTTGTAAGGTTTGGCAAAGGGGTAAGGAACACCATGTTTAGAAAGAATGATTAGGGGACCGTATACAGTTTCTCTTAACCATGATATATGGGCATGCCAGAAGAGAGTACACCTTTGGCTTACAATTGTGAAGTTGTACACATAACTTTGGCCTGTTTGTATGGGACATTGAGTCACATATGCCAGTCCATCTGCCCATCCAGTTTGAAGCTGTCGAATGCCATGCCTATTTCAAAAAACAATGATAGTAACTTGCAATTCAGAAAACTAATTAGAGCATAAAAAATGTTTGTTCTAAGTGAAGAACTTATCTACCAATGAACAGAGATGTTGTTCTGCACATGGTTAACCACTTTTATCAAGAGCCGGTCGCCTTCCCTTGCCACAATGCGAGGACCAGGAAACTGCCCATTTACTGATACGATGCTCTTGGTGTGGCACAAACGTGTCACATTTTGCAACTTGATCTACAAAATTTAACAAATTAATATTAACAAAAAACATTGTAGAAAAAAAAAAAGAAAGGAAAGAGACCTCCCTTTTTTTTCACTGTCCAATGATTTAGGCACCAATGTAATGTTGAACAATGACACTTACATCAAACTTGTAATGCCTGGTGATCCTAGCTACAGGCTCTGGAAAGAGACTCAACGTGACAAATGTGAAGAGAAAGACACCCACAAATGGTGTTGATTTATGAGAAGCAGCCATGTATTATCTTTTTTTTTCCCTTTAGAGCAGCCTAAGAGAATTCAGATCTGCAAATACGTATATTGATCAGAGCTCAGAATGTAGAATGTATATATAGGAGTAAGGGACTGGAGTTTGGTTGGTTAGAATTCGCTTAGTTTAAAGATTACAAAAAAAAAAAAAAATGAGTACAGATTCGATAGCTACTTTGATATGGCCAGTTGTTAGAACAACTTTAGGGTGTTGTCAAAGATAATCAATTCCTTTGGTCTCCTTTCTTTTCAAGTCAAACCTTGGCTTTATGCAAAAATCAGATAATCCTACATTTACATATGTTCTTTCATATCTGGTTCCCATGATAGACGTAGTTTTGAGCTTGTTTCATGCTTCTCTAACTTTGTTTTTGGCAAAACCGAATCAATGTTTGGCATCAACAGAAGAAGAAATTACTGTCATTATATTTGGCACCAGGATATCTTTGCGGCTGCTTCTTGTTCACGGCACTATCGACAACATCATAGCAAAAGCAAACCCACCATCCGTTAAAAGTGCTAACCAATACCAACTCTTGAAAGATCAAAACCTAACTTCTGATATATAGAAGTTTTTATATGATAGAATTCTTTGCTGGTAAATTTCAAGTATCTGTAATTCATTTAAGTTAAATATGATATTTAATCAAGCATGTTAGTGTAATATCCACATCTAAAATCAGTGAAAATATATATTATGCTTTATGATGAAGAAAAACATAGTTCACTCGAAGGATTTCTGTCATGCAGTCATTTTTAAAATAGGCTGTAGTTTCAGTTTGTTTTCCATAATTTTTTAATATAGAACAGGTCATATATGAATCACAGGGAAACCTCAATCGACGCAACTTGACCTCAAGCATAGAAATCAACAGACAAAGCTTATGTATAAAGGGATAAATTTTGAAAATAGTTTGATTAGATTTAGTACTAATTGGAGGAGTTTGAAATTTGATTGAAAAATTTTGAACACAAAAGAAAAAGGGAAATTGATTGAAACTCTTTTTTCCTCTTGCTTAAACTACTCGTCAAGACGACCTCCCTGAGTAATAGTTATATGATATTATATGCTTGTTAAAATTTACATATCATGAGAATCAACCATTTAGTTGAAAACTTTAAATTTGATAGAGTGAGATCAAGAATACAATAAA